CACTCTGCCCGCGCAATGAGGACACAATGCGGCTTTGGATGCTAGGGGGGTGATACCTGGCATGGAAGTGCTTGTTGCCTGCTATTTCTGGGGACCTGCTTTTGGTGAGCCAGATCTCCTGCGATAGAACCTGCACAGGTCAAGAGGCCTTCCTGCAAATGCCCACGAGGGTGCTCTTTGGCCGGAATGGCTACACCCTGGATCGAGACACAGTTGCAGGAATGCCACCGCTCCGGTGCGATCCGGCATTCCCACAGCAAAAGCCTGCAGCTTGCTCGTCTTATTCTACAAATGTTGGTCAGAGCAATCTGCAGTACCTGCACATCAGGATCTTCCGAGAGAATCCCTGCAGGTGGAAAATGGCTGGTCTCATCTGCTGCAATTGGGATATGAAGTAGGAGAAGCAAGCTACATTACTTCAAGGATCGCATAGTCTAGCCGGTCCCAACCGAGCAGGTGTGCCAGCCTCAGCACATGGCAAAGCCCATTGGCAGCCGGCATGTGATAGAAGCGCACTGGTGGCGCCCTACTGCTTTATCGACGACAGAGAAACCTGGTGCCCAAGGGTAATGCTGCTTTGCGCCACGCTTTCCCACCCTGCTGGCCTGGTGCATGGTGAGGTTCACGGAAATCTGCTTTGTCAGATCCGTAGCTTGCTTCTCGAGGATGTCCTGTCCGGTTCGTTTTGTTTGCAATTGCTCGCCGTCCCTCAGAAGCGCAGCAAAGGCAAGAAGAGCCAAGACGAGACATCACGCCGTGTTGATCGATGCACCCATGTTCAGGCAGCGCTGACTACGGTCAAATGTCCACGCCCAGCATGCAGTCTAGTACTGTGGCAGTTTCCGTGGCTAGGGCCTTGTCTGGAACTTCCAGGAGGTAGTCGCCGGTGCCGGCGGTGCTGGCCTGCAGCGACAAGGGGGAGACACGGCCCACTGCCCTGCCCTCGTTGCACCTTGCTGGTCTTGCTGGGCCAGCGAGCACCTTCCTCCTGCCCCATGGCATGGGACCCCCGACTCTCACAGCTAGCCAAACGGCCTTGCTCTGGTCCCGCGCAGAGTCTACTCCTATACCTGGCCAGGGCGCCAGGGCTGGAGAAGCTCTGCTGAACAGCTCGCGTGGGCATCTCGGCAGCTCGGGCTGTGGCAGTAGCCCAGAGCGCTGCAGCCATACACGGCAAGACCTGCACCAGATCGTGCGCACCTGAGGACCCTATGGTCAGGCCAAGCCTCCAATAACGGAGAAGATGCAGCTCAAGAGGGAGAAGCGCGTTGTTATCTGGACCTGCGCTGCCACCGCAGCTGGGCCATGGGCTTCACAACGTGGAAAGTAACCATGACAGTGAGAATCCTCATGACGACAATGAACACAATCATGAAGCCCGTCATTGATGGCTTTTTGTGGCCATGATGCTGACGATGTTCGTGATGGGCGATGTGGCCATGAGGGGAGAAATCTCATGATGACATGGCAGATGAGGCTGAGCCCCAGGACTTGATGCGGCCTCTTCTTGCGGAGGACGTACATCTTCGATTAACGGCGCATCCTTCGGCTGCTTCGTTGTCAGCCACGGATGTCGTGCAGCCTGGCACAGCAGGCCATCCATGAAACGAGCAGAAACAGTAACATATCGAGCGAAAGACAGACGAGACTTGGCAAGAAAATAGGAGAAGGAGGGAAAGAAGACTGAAGACACAGCGAGACCAGACGCAGCATCAAAATGAAGGTCCACGTAACGAGAATGCTGATAGTTCTTAAGTTGTCGGCTCAGACTTCAAAGACCTGTGTAGACGTGTGGAGTATCATCCCGGCCTCTCTCGCCGGCGGCCGATCCTTGACCTCCTTCGCACCGGGGGAAATGGAGGCTGTGTGGGAGGAGGCTCTGTCATTACCCGAAGGGGAAAGGGTTCCGGGGTCCTTCTTCATTGTCTGCCGAAGGAAATCCGCTCCTGGGTAGTCACGGATGTCTCTGTCGGCTCCTGTGCGCTTGACATTCATGGGACCTTCCGAGCTGTGGGCCACTCTCCGAGAGGTAGTAGGGCAGGGCAAGGTCCGTTGTGCCCTTTGGCCCTGCATGGGATGGAGCTACCAACCGAACTTTCCAGAGCTGTGCAACGTATTGAAGAAAGCTGCAAGTATAGCTCTCTCGCAGTTTCTCGGTTGCTGGTAGCACCTGAACGAGCGCAAATGGCAGCCTCGCCCTCGTAGGGGAGGGCCTAGACCAGACGTGATCTCATAACGAAACTTTTAGCAAAGAGCCAGAAACATGCGGCTTGCCCTCGTGGGGCCCTGACGCCAGTCAGAAGAATGAAAGTCGTCACACCTACGGCCTCCAGCTGCAAAGCAGGTTGCCACACTTGCGAGGATCAACGTGGAGATGAAGCTCCGCGATCTGAACTGTCGAACTGTCGTTGCCAACAGTTCACGAACGTCTGGGGTCGGACCCACACATCCACGGCCAAGCTATACCCGCCGGCGTAGATCTGCAGAGGAATGGGCAAAACGCCGGACTTTGTGTGGCTTTGGGGGTCCCTTTGCAGGGCCTCGGGAGCCCAGAAGGCCGGAGTGCCCACGCGGCTGTAGACCACCTCCCCCTTCTCAATCCTCGCATCCGACAGCATAGAAGAGGTGTGAAGACACTTCCAGCTAGCGGGTCTTTAGTGGGGGGTCCCCATGGCCGTCCCTGCGAACTCCGCGAGGTTGGCAACATTTCTCCGAGCATTTCTTGGTTTTGGTTGTCTGTTCCAATTCTTATGACTGGCTCGGGCCACATGCGCCCTGATCTGAGGGACCCGTTTTCGACAGAGCCGTTGCAATGTGGGCGTCGTGGACTTCAAGCTTGGAATTTCTCCGTCGATAGACGGGCTGCTGTTGTGTTATCGACGGTCGCTGTGGCGACCATGCCTCTGAAAACACGGGCGGGGCAAACGACACGGGAGCCGCACCACGCCGGCAGTTGGCAGATTCCAATGATGCATCCCACGGGCTACCGCAGCAAAGTTCATGCCTCATGGAGCAATCGCCAACGGCAGGGTAGTGCAGTCCTCAGCGCAGTGCCAAAGTCGGAAAGCGCGACCTGATGGAAAAGCTGCCGACAGTGTACAAAGCACAGCTGATGAACGTCAGGAGCAGGAGGGCAATACACGAGTCTGCACCGGAGGGTACAGCCGATCAAGAGCAATATCGCTGACTGTGCAAAATATATCTCACCTAGAGTGAGAGCTAATGATAAAACTGGGGGAGTGGACGGTTTCCACTGCCCAGGGTGAAACGTCGAATACTACAGACCATCCTCGAAGAGGATGAACAGCAAAAGACCATGCGTGTGTGTGTGTGTGTGTGTGTGTGTGCTTGCTATAAACGCTTGCTTCGGCCCTACATCACAACCTTGGCTCTGTGCATGTGTCTGGTCACATCCGGTTGGCTCTCACGGACGTGGCAGGGATCGAATTGCACTTGCTGCCGCCTGGACGGCCTGTCTCAAAAAGCAACCAGAGTTTGGCAGAAATGCCAAAGTGATGCGTGCTGCAGCTGGCCATCTTCAGACGATTCCACACTCAGAGTTCAAAATACCGAGTTGCGGCACCAAGCCCGAAGAAGAATCCTGCCTCTCTGGCCGCTTCAAGTGCTGGAAGCCCCGAGACGTAGCCGGGTACTGACTCCTTCTCACTTGGGGCCTGGGCTGTCACGAGACTCAGTACTGTGCTGATCCTTCTGCATCCTTTTGAACATTTACGATGCATCCTTGGGATACATGTAGCCAAACCAAGACAATAGCCGGCATCTTCGTCATTATCGTCGTCATCATCATCAGCAGAGGCAGCAGCAATATTGTCGTGTCCTCCCTCCTTCCTCCGTCCATCCATCCATCGTCACCACAATCTTCTCAGTACTGTCATCATCATCATCATCCTCATCACACATTATAATCAGCATGGTCGCCATCGACCTCATCCCCTTTCATAGGTTGCTGACACTTACCCCGGGGACCAACCCCGGCTCTCCTCAATAAATGAGCGATAAATGATCGTTAAAATGGCACTAAAAATGTATTATGTGAGCATTATGGGAGCAATAAGTGAGCAATAAACGAACACTAGTGAGAGACGATGTCTGCCCATGTCTGCCCTCCCCCCCTGCCCTGCCTGCCCTGCCCCCCTGCCACCCTCTGCACTTCCCTGCTTTTGCTGCCCTGCCCTGCCTGCGCTGCACCACCCCACCCCACCCCACATCCCACCACCCCCCGCCCCACCCCCCACCCCACCCCCCACCCCACCCCACACCCCACACCCCACCCCAGCCCACCCCAAACCATCTCTAGTTGCGTTTGCAAGAACCAACCCCGCATCAGAGCATTAAATGAGCATTAAATGAGCGTTAAATGAGCGTTAAATGAGCATTAAATGAGCGTTAAATGAGCATTACATGAGGAGGTGGTGATAAGCGGGGTTGCTCGCTCTACCACCCCCCGCCCCGCCCACCCCACCCGCCCCACCCGCCCCACCCGCCCCACCCTGCCCCGCGCCGCGCCCCACCCCGCCCCACCCCCACAACTCACAGTGGGCAGCTTCACGGCACCAAGGTAGATGGTGGGCCGCCATATAAAGCTCATTTAATAGGCATTTATCCTAGATTGCGGGGTAGGGTCTAGGGGTAGGTGTGGGCAGCCCAGGACCCTTCGTCATCACAACTTTAACCTTTATGCGCAACGACGGCCAACATGATAATTTCTTGCCTTACTCTAGGTACAAGTACCCTAGCATAGGGCAGTGATGGCTTATTCATATCATGAACGATGCAGGATTTGGTCCATAAGCACCACCAGCACCGCCGCCGTCATAGCTGTTGCCGGTACCGGCAGCTACTGGCGGATTTGTGTTCCTACGTGCTCGTCTGTTTGCACCTGCGTCATTTCATCGTGACTTTGACGACTTCCGCTACGAGTACTGCTGAAGGAAAACCCACCGCCACTGACAGCCGCCGCGATCAACTTCCCAAAGCTGCTAGCAAGTAGCTTCCCCATACATCTCGCAGCGCCGAGGCCCTCCGTCTTTCCAGGTCCACGACTTACACCTGCCGAGCTGCCGAAGAGAGTGGGATCTGCTGCTCCGCTCTCCGCCTTCCCTGCCTCGGCTCCCGCTGGCAGAGGCGGCAGCACCGCTGCGGGGCTGCGACATCGAAGTCGTCGCCCATGTGAGGTCGATGGCTGATGACCAGGGACCAGCTGCCCAGCGGAGGCACCTGTTTTCCACTCAGGGGCGCCTGCCCCGGCCCTGCATGCTACTGCTATGTGTGGCGGGCCGAGGCGCATAGCCCACATCCGGCTCCAGCTGTCCACACCAGAAATGCTGCCAGTCGTCCCCCGGCAGATTCGCTCTTAGCGCTTCCGTCGCCTCGCTTTCCAGAGACCCCTTTGAAACACCAAAAACCCTTCCTTCGTTCCTTCTCTCTGCTTCCCTTCTTTCAATCAATGTCTCTTCGATTCTGGCTGGCCTGGAGGGCGGCGCTCTCGGGCACCTCGGCCGGCTCCGCGACCACGCTCCTCGGATTCGGACTGCCATAGCTTGAGATGCAGCCGCCAGGGCCGCATTCTCTGAAATTCAGCTGAAGCTCGTCGCAGCTGGCTCGCTGGGTATAACTGTTTCGTTCGGCGGCTGAGTTGAATTCGTTGCATTCGATTCGTTCACCGTCTGGTTCGTTTGGTTGCTTTGCTCTGGCTGGTCTGCGGCAGGCCCCTGCTCCTCCTGTGCTGGGGGAGCTGGGGCCGGGGGCGTCCCCAAGGACACCGTCACTGAAATGGCATCGTGGTCACTGCCTCGGCACAACAAGAAGAGCAAGAGCGGTGGCTGAGCTGTCAGGAGACATGCCACAAAGACAAAATCCGGACCACGTCGACGTTCCCAACCTTCGAGCCTGCGAAGCCTTCTCCGAAAGTCTCAAGTGCATCTAGATCACCTCCACTGCCCAGATTCTTGCGGCTCACGACAGAAGCAGAGTCCATGTTGCCGAAGATGTTGTCCTCTCATGTGAAGCGCTCCGCCCTCGCGCACCCCAATCCCCAAGAGTGAGCGCTGCCAAGGCATGCCAAGGCACCACTCCGCCGAAGGAGCCACCGCCGTAAAGCAGCACCATCCGGGACCAAAGCGTCTGTTTTGCACAGCTTTGGAAGGCTTGGACTCTATGAAACGTCGACCGATCATCAGCTAGATTAGGACTAGGAAGTGTGGTTCTCGTTTGAGTTGGTTGTGGTGCTACGTGGTCGCGGCTTTAGGGACTTTACTGAGCCTGCAGACGCAGGTGTGAGGGCAACTGCCGGACCAACAAAGTATGATATTCCGAATCTCGCGAACGAGCGCGCCCCGACAATGAATACACTGCTGCCGGGGGTGTCCTGGATGGTGAGGGAAGCAGAGTTCGCGTTGAAGTCACCGACCAAGATGATGGCATCCCCTGCGCGTGCTGGTATATCCGCTTCTGGTCCATCCCTAAACTCGTGCCCAGCCTGGTTCGGAACTGTTCCGGAGAACTTCGATCAGGTTGTTGGCGATAGAGTCGCCGCCACAGTCACCGCCAGAGTTCACCTCCAGCGGCCCGTGGTGGTTGGCGAAAAGCAACTTTCCTCAGCAAAGCAGAGCAGAGCGCATCAACTGACCACGTAGGAAACCGTACAAGGCAAGCAAGCGGCTGCCTGTGGCGTTGTGAACGAGGCGCATCCAGACCACTCCGCGGCGTCCGTAGTAGTGGGACTTCATATCCTCACGGATAAAGATGTAGGACAAAAGCACCCGCAACCTGTGAGCCGATCATCTGAAGTCCTCCCCAACGTCCTCACTGCCGCTTGAAAGAAGGCTCCAGGCCCCCTTCCGGTAGGCGAGGCACACGGCATGCATACCTTCAGCTTGCAGCATCACCGGCTCCCCCACACTGAGCATGAGGCGAAAGCCTTGCATGACTTCGTAGCTGTCCATCAAGCCCACCTCGGCTCGAGACACAACCGGCACAGACGCCCCTTGCCCGCTCCCTTTCAGATACGCACCGGCTCCAGCACACGGACCCCATTCTCGCATTCCTGGAAGCCCATGACATCGAAGAGCCCGTCCTGGACGGAATGTGCTGGCTGAAAGGCTCCAGGCAAAGCAGAAACTCTGTATCCTCAACGGTCTCAGCTCTGATGAGGTGGCCGGCACTGTCCCCATTACCTCCAGCTGCTTGCCACTTGCTGGCACCCTCAACTCGTCGAGCCAAGCCACCGCGGCGGACTCCGTAGAGGTTCCACCAGAAGAGATTGTAGCTCAACGCCTCCGCTGAAAGCTGCAGCTAAACGGAACGCCGTCCTTGTTTGGGAAGCGAGCGCTCGCTCGAGCCTTGATGGTGATGCTTCCGCTTTCCTCGGCGGGGGCCAGGAGGCTGCCCGCCGGAGGCCACTCGCACCACTTCGGGCGCAGCCTCAGCCGCGAGCCGCAGGTGGACGCAGCTGGGCAAGAGGAAGGACTCTCAGTTCCATGCGGTACACCGCAGGGTATCGGGCATTTGCCTTGCCAGGGGATGTTGGAGATGCTGGCACGCGCATCAGCCCACTCTCGACCTGGCATTCGATCGTGAATCAAGAGCTGGAAGTCCACCACCTCAGGAGGCATGTCCGTCGCCTTGAAAGTGCTGCCTAGCTGCCAAGGCACCGAAGAATCCTTCGTGAGATCCGGATACCAATCCGGATGCTTGCCTCAAGCGACCCCAGGCCGGGGGGTTCTTTTGCGACTCCGCAATATCTGAGAATCTGAATCAATACATGTATGGCACTCACACTCCGCTTGGATCCCAGCGGATGCCGACCTCTCGGGCCCAAGTCACCTCGAGGCTCTGACAGCAGGCGAGCAGGACGCACAGGCGGCACTGTGAGGGCAGTTTTCCCCGCCTCGCGGAAGCATCTTTCCCCTCGCACCGTCGTGTGGCAGCCCACTTTCTGCTTGGTTAGAGCACCTGCAAGCCCAACTCAGCCGGGAACGACATGCGGAATAAACGATACCACCATCCTGACCCTGACCAACCACGCCTCGGTGCTGCAGCGCTGTTAACGCACAGTCGGTGCGGTCCTCTGCACACTCGTCATCCGAGTGAAGGGGTAGCTCCTGGCAAGTGCTTGCAAGGCCAAACGACGGGCCTGCTTCACCCCGCAATTCAGAAAGAAAGCTGCCGGAATCCTTAGAGTGGGAAACACCAGTTGATGACTCAGGCCGTTGCCCGAGAAATCCCCTGTCCTGGGTGAAGCCCACAAAAGGAATGAGGAGGATAAGCACCTAAAAATCCAGGCGGTCGCAGCGCTCAAGATCCTCTTCGTGGAGGAGGCTAGTCCGACTGCGTTCGGGCGGCTTTTCGCATTCGTGGGGACGGTGGAAGAGAAGGCCCAAGCAGTGCTCGAGCCGAAAGAGCCAGTAGGCAGCACCATAGAAGAAGAGGAAAGAGAGCGAAAGCATGACAGACTGTGCTGCAGTGCACTGGAAGCCTTGACGTCGGGATCGCCAATGTCTGGACGATCGGAAAGAAAATTTTCGCCCTGAAAATAAGGCTCTCGGTTAGGATCCTTGGGATTAGCTCCGACCATTCTGTGAAACACTCGACCCACATGGCACCTTGACGTCCCGATGTATGATTGACAGGCCGTGCACCTCGCTGCCAGATGACTCAAGTCAAGAGACTTTCCTTGTCGCAGTCTTGAGCAGCTACAGCAAGCAGCCGGCATGCGCGACCGCCGACATCATCTGCTTCGCCAGACGTGCGAGCTGCGCATTCGGCACTCGCCCGAAGGCCTCTGAAGGCACAAGACAAGACCGAGACTCTTTCCCGGCGGGTCGAGGCCCTCGCCCGTCTGTGGGTGTTGAGTCCATCGACCAAGTCGCCTCCGGGGAACATGTCGACGACCACGTTCACATACTGGGCCTCTCCGTAGAACAGAATCTTTGGGATGACATCCCTTCTATCACACTGCTTGGCCCAACTAGGGATTTGAACTCGAAGAACCTCTACCGCCTCAAAACTTGAGGAACCCCCGCAGGAACCGGATGCGTTTCATATTTCGAGGACTGTTCACGCCAGTACAAGGCGTCCTGCCTTGCCCTTGGCTTTGCAACAGCTCCCAGCGCGGACATTCTAGCATCCATCTCTCATTGTACCGCCCCCAACTGCCCGGCCTCGATGAACACGTCATAGCACCTGCCCATGGAGCCACAACTGATGGCTGCTGAGAGTGTGAAGGCACCCGGCCTGACCATGTTCTCGTGCCGCAGAAGTCGCATGATAGCAATCTGCGAAGGGGCCAGCGACTTCGTCATATCTCTACGCAGCCACTAACCCCTGGAGCAAGTCAAGCCAGATTTGTCTCCCAGAAGCCGAGCTCTAGGATGTCATCTCTATAGCCTCTCTAAACACTTGGCGGTGCTCAAGAAACTCCCACGCAAAACGCTGGAGCAGTCTTTAAAGAGAGCAGTGGAACGAGGCCAAGCGCCTCCGGCCCGAGAGCCCGTCAAAACTTCAGACTCTTCTGGTCCTCTCCTCACACGACCAAAGGCACTGGGGTGGCCGGCGTGGACGACCCGGTGCTGGCACGTCGGAACCTAACCGCGACTGGCCGGTGTGCTTTCCTGTCATGCCGAGCCCTGTTTTGTCTGGGCCCCCCTGCATCGCGGCCCGCCGGGCTGCCGCATCCTGCGACTCCTCCTCCGAAAGGTCCACCTTGACCTGCACACGGTGTCCTTGAGAGGCCTCAACTTCCTTTGAAGAAAGGGCCTCGGGGATCGTTGCATCGTCTGCGACGCCACAGGTGTTCTTGGCCTAGGAGACCCGGCACAGCACACAAGCTCGCACAAACTCTACCTTCCTCGGGCCGCCACCATCTCCAGGTAGATGTAGCCCTGCATTCCCCAGGTCGATGCCCTCGGCTGCAGTCAATGACGGCAAGGGCTGGGCGACAGTTCGGGTACTTGCGATCAAAATACCAGGAGTTGCGAACGATCCAGTACGGTTTCGGCGCTGTGGCGTTGAAGCCCACGGCCATCACGCAGTGGTCCTGGCGTGCTCTGCGATGTTTTGGGCGCCAGCTCCTCTGCCGGGCTATACCGGCCTGATATGCCGCGCCCATCGGGCCACATGCTGCCGCTGACAAAACACCACCGGTGTAATCGTTCCACACGCCTGCATTGACCTCACCGTCAGACCCTCCCAGCTACAGAATGCTCCACCACTGCCGGATAACATCAGTAAGTGCGCCGCACACACGGAGATGGGCGATTTCTCCAAAGCAGCTGCCAGTCCCTTCAGGTCCTCCGGCATGCTTTACCAGAGCCACCCCGACATCCACATCAGGGAACAACTCGAGAGAAAGAAGCTGCAAAACACCGTCTCTGTGTCAGTGTGCATTGTACATGATGCGGCTTGACAACGCTTCCCGAAACATCTGATGCAGTCAGATCGTCAGACCTGAGCACGCTGACTCAGCTTTTCTATTCTCAGATTGGGCTGGAAGCCCTTTGCCGATCCTCAGTTATGCCATAGAGAGGCTGAAACCAGATGGCTTGAACTTCAACATGTTTGTTGGGGCTTGAAGGTGGAGGCATGGGTCATGCCGCGGCAGGGAATGGGCATCCAAATATGTTATGCTTCAATTCCTGCCCATCTCCTTCGTCCAAGCTTAGGCTCAAAAACAGTACGGCATTGGTATTGGTGTGAAGCTAGAAGGGAAGCGCATAGTTTTGGTGCTTGGCCCTGAAGCAAACAACTGTGCCGGTTCTTATGCTGCAGCAAGCACGGGGTCCTGATTTTCACAGCTCCCCTCAGTGCAGGGTTTCACGGCGTAGCTGTAGCCTCACGGATGGAACCCTGACCATAGCGCACCCTCGAAATGACTTGCTCCCGCGCCTGTCACGGCTGCATACCCGCCTGACAGCTGCATGTAAGGACCGTCCATCGCTGCTACCTGGCTGGACAGTGTCATGTCTGATAGTGAGATAGGTAGATGGATGGTGAGTAGTCAGCCCGAGCTTGTTCGTTCATATGCTTTTTGAATGCTTTCACTGATAATAATTTGGAGTGTAAGTATGTATCTATGTATACATGAATCTGTACATATGTACGTATGTACCTATGTAGTATGTACCTTTCATGTCTTGCCACTGATCTTTGCATGTATGCTTCCGTTGTTGCTTGTGCATACCCGCTGTATATGTGAATGTGTACATTATATTTATATATTCATATATATATATATATACATATATATATATATATATACATATACACAAATATATACATACTATCTACATATGCTAAACGTCCCCCGAGGACCAACCTTTCAGGTTTTCAATAGGCCGAGCACGATATTGCAAGCTCCAACACTTCCAAAAAATGCAATCTAAGCTTCCGCTTGGTGAATGTCAAAAAACTACCCACATGATCTGTCGCTGAGTCCACGCTTGCGAAACCAAATCTTGGAATTTCGGAATTCCTACGTTTCAGCATGTCTCCTCAACCTGTGGGGAGATTCAAACTGTCGAATGTTTGTAATTCCGGAATCCCTTAACTTGGTTTCGCCGGTATTGGAATTGGTTGCCCTGCAAAGGGGGCCTAGTGACTGTCTCGCTCCGGCATGGAAGAGTTCTTCGGCTTCAAGTCTGCGATTCCAAACTGCATGCACTCCATTATGTCGCTACCATGTCCAGAGCTGTCGATTCGTAACGAAAGCATGTCGGAGCGCCATCAATCTGTAGATTGCGCCAAAAGATCACAAGTTAGGTTGTACTGTTGCACTGCATGCTGTCTTCTTGGCAGGCCTTCTCCTTCGGGCAGGAGACAGTCTCTGTGGACTCTGTGAGGCTCTGCTGGTAAGGGATGTAGAAACCTGTCATCGGCCGCTGAAGTCGTGTTCCAAAACTCGAAAGCTACGGGGACTCTGCTGCCCAAGTGCTGTTGGCGAGGCCCGGAACAGTCTTGAGATATTCGTAGGCACCCTCCAGTTGTGGCGAAAAATGCGAGGGGACTCGATGCGTGCTGAGTGCTGACTCACGCTGCGGCTGCGGCCTCGGTGAAGCCTCCGTTGCATCCTGCCGAGACTCGAGACCAGACCGGAGAAGGCGGAGGGTCCCGAGGAGGGTTCTTTGGATCGGCCCGGCGCCGGCCTTGGCAACCATAAGTTCCGGTGCTGGGGGCGCAGCTGGTGATCTGCTGAGGAGACAGTGCGATGTCGTACCTGCTAACAGACGAGCAACAAAAGCAACGGTCGATACCACTAGCAGCTCTTGAAGGTTGAATGCTGGTGGGATCGGCTGAGTTGAGAAATAGTCTCGTCTCTTAAACCTCGTAGCAACTGTGCACCTGACACCTCACACAGTGTGCCGTACATTTCTGCATTCCAGCTCGCCTGACACCCTGTGAAGCAGTTGGCCGTGTATTGCTTGGCTCATCCTTGCTATGACTTCGCCGTCGAAGCACCAAGCAGTGCTGCCAGATGCGGCTCCGTCCTTTTCCAGTGACCTTGGAGCCCTTCGGTTTCGGCTGCCATGTATGCGGCAAGCACATGGCCTGCAAGTTGGCGGGTAGCGCCGTCATTGAAGCTCTGATCTCACTCCTGTTTCGTGCCAGCCTCCGCCCTCTACGGCTTTACGGTTTGTCGCGCAGGACATGCTGCAAAAGCCGCTTCCTGCAGATCTGGGAACACACACAGACATGCCCACAACACCTCCCACCAATTCGACTACCGGACCCGGGTCCCGAGCATGCTGTGCGACAGCTGCTGAGAGTGAGTTCGGGTCAAGAAACGCCACCAGAGCGATGTGCACGAACCCGCGAAAATCTTACAAAACCAGAGCAGCAGCATTCGCGCGGAGAATGAAAGTTGTATTTCAGGGCGATGCATCTCACGTGACCGCGATCCCGAAGCCTGGTACCCACGGGGTCCTTTTGTGAGTCTGAATTGCAGCTACTTGTAACGCATTGCCAAAACACACTGCACACATTCTTAAAACGCCGGCATGCCCGTGGGCCACTTCTCGCTACTCCTGGTTTAGGCTTTCTTCTGGTTGCACTTGCAGCAACTTCCATCCGGATGCCTTGGGCCTAGTCAGCCTTGCATCTGCTACGGACATCGTGAAGCAGGGACTGCAAACAAGAAATCTGTGACTGCGGGACCTGCCGCCGGAGGCCAGGATCAGCTGGGACTCGATGGCTTCGGTCGCGCTGAAGGCCCAGCCTAAGAGCTTGGGCCGAGATGCGCATCGGAGCCGCATTGCCCGGTCTAAGTGCAGCCAACACACAGGAGCCGCATTGCCCTGTCCAAGGATTTCAGAACTCATGACGCCCAAAACTGCACGAAGTGAATCAGCAATCCCTTTCACGTGCTGGCAAAGCTGGCTCATTGCAACGAACGCACTTCGATGGACCAAACAAGTGCGGAACGGCTCTGCGCCTCGCTCATAGGTTGAAAGGAAGACATATGGAGCATGTTGAGCATCACAGTCGGAGTCCAAGTCGTCGTGTCGTCGTGGTCGTGGTCGTGGTCGTCTTGGTGGTGATTGTGGCGGTGGTGGTGGCGGTGGCGGCAGTGGCGGTTGGGGGTGGCGTCATCGTCGTCTGTCGTCTTATGCGATCCAGCCTAAGCGCTGATACCCGCGACCCTGCGCGGGACGCATGCTTTGATCAGCAGGAAGAACGTGGCAACAGCACACAAAGTCCGGAGTTCATCCACCGTAACCTGGCAAACCCTGTCACTCGCGCCTTGGTTCTTGATGGGCGTCACCGCCTCCGTGAGGCGCCAGTCAACGGCCGTGGCCGTGGCGTCGGAGAAGTTCTGAACCGGCGCAACGGGGACGAAGCCCTTGGGCTTGCGGTGCCCCCTGGCATCGCTGGGGATTTCGGGGAGGTCCTTGGATTTTCTTTTGGGGCCCAAGGCCTCTTGTACTTCTCCTCCTCATGACGGTCGGCCATCCAGGTGATGCCGAAGGCGGGCTCACCATTGAGCTTGTTCAGATGATCGACTCGCTGCTGCGTTGCCTTGAACCTTACACGCATTCGATTCACAAACACTTCATCGAAACCTTCGTTGAGGCCAAGAAAGGGACAGCTGGTAGCGGGCCGCTTCCTCGCCCTTGCTGGAATAGCTCCTTACTGCATGAGCAGTTCCCTCAAGCCAAGCAAGGACCCAGCAAACAAACGCCAAGCGTCTTCTTGTACTTGTGCTTGAAGGCCTCCCAGTCCGGGTCAGAGATAGCAGCCACCGCTGCAGGAAGAAGAAGAGTCCAGGCCAAGGTGCGGAACATGGCTGCAAGCCGAAACCTGAAAGCCCTGGTGCTTTTTGTTCAAGCCTTCGTCGAGCCAAAATGCTCAGATGTCAAAGGCATCTGCATTCGCACACATATTTCGCAGTAAGAGGCATGCAACTTGTCCAAGCAAAAGTGCCCTCCCTTTTGGCCCTGCTGGGTCCTATAGCTGCTAGCTCTTGCTGGGGGTCTCCTTGGCAGAGAGATGCGAGCCCGGTCTATCATTCGTCAATCCAAAACAGAGGTCGCAAGCCACGAACTGGTCAACACTAAGATAAGGTTGCCAAGGTTCCGTCGGCTTGTAGGCGACGCAACTGCAGCATTTCAGCAATTCATGATGGAAACTCCACGATGGCGCAAAGCGACAACGCGAGCAAAGGAGCCTTCGCTGCTCCAGGTCCCAAACGTGGCCAGCGTTGCAACCTAGGCCAAGTGCACCTCAAGCCCTGTGGGGTGGCACCACCTACTGGGTCCGATCTACTCAGCTCTGCGCAACACGACCATCCGCAGGGATGGCTTAGCTTGGCATCGCAACGGCCGCATGAGAAGGGATCAGCACATTCAGCCTCCTCGTGCGGAATGAGAGAGGGACATGAAGGGAAAACACGTACCCACTCGCCCCTCTCGCCCAGACTCGTCCTGCTTCCTCTCTGGCCAGCGATGGGATGCAGGGATGTGGAAGACTTCAACCAGGGGGTCGTTGGCTTTGCCTCACGCCCCAAGCTGCCACGCCACTGGGAGACGCATGGCGCTTGCCGATGCTAGCAAAAACCAGACTTCAGAGGTCTTTCAGACGAGCTGCAACCCGTGCAAGCATCCTCCTCCACGTCGTAAGTGCAACCGAACATGCAGCAGCAGTGGTTGTTGCCACAGGAGTAAGCATGCCGATCCTCGCTCCAGCCAAACTCGTCTGTCCCCCTCCCTCCAGAAATACCCCGTTGTCTCTGTCTCTCTGCACCACACGCCACGACGGAGCTGTGCTGAAAATTCCCTCCAGGCCTGGCAGGACTCCCAGATCTGAGAGCCCGGGATCCTCGGCTTGCACGACAACAAGAGAACACAAAAACCTCCTCCTTAGCTCCTCGCTCCAAATGAGGCCTTCAAAACAGGCGCAAGCACGCCGCGGGCGTGCGTTGGATTCGCTAGCAACTTTCCGATGGAAAAGCCTCTGTGACGAAAGAGGTTTGGACTGCTTTGCAGAGAACTAGTGGTTCAAGAGAGCAACACACCTGAAACGTCGACGGTGAACTAGACAATCCATGCTGCTCTGTCTGTACGAGTGTATCACGAAGGTTGATCCCACATGCGGGGACACCTGCGAAGCAAATCTTCACCTGTCTTTTGGCTCCTCTAGTCCTGATGCGTCCATTCGTTGATACCTGTAAAACTTGGAATGCGAAAGGACCCGAGAGCTACTCCTGGACCTGTGTGCGGACCTACTACACAGTGTCGGTTGATTTTCGCTGCCTTGCTATGGACGTGCTGCATCTCAAAGGGCGAACAATGAACCCCATCCTTGCGAATGCGGTCACTCGGCCTCACCCTCAATTGCACAGAGATATCTCACAACATCACAAGCAGCTTCAAGGCAATTGCTCTCATCCTTCCAATGGCAGACCAGTGCTCCAGCTTTCACAGCTCTTTCATTTGACACTTGCGAAATCTAGGTTATCAAAACGAATCGTGTCCGAATTCGTCATTGCCATGTTGTATCGGGGCGGAAGGATTCTTCCACAGCCTTCCGAAGTATCCCCTAGCTAGATTCTGTGCTGGCAACCTAGTCTCCACATATGTGATGCATCACAAAATCCCAACCAAGTACTGCGGCATATGCCTCGATTACACATGAGTGCTCATGGCCGTTGCATGCACATGATAGGACAAAAGAGCAACACATCCTTCTGAAGTTCTTTGCCAGCGTCGGTGCCGGCTCGGGGGGCTTCTGTCCCAACGGCCGCACAGTCCTCCTTGGTCTGAGGAACAAACGCCAAAAGGAACTTCACAGAGACCTCTTGTCACTACTGTTGGCAGGTGATCGTCATCGCTGTCGCTGTCACCGATGATGGCGACAGCGACGAACCCGCTACCACAAGATGCCACATGACTGCCGCTCCTAATTGCTAGATGCATCGTCGGTACGACTACCGTCGTCGTCCTGGTCGGTTCTGCTATGGTTCGGTTATGTGATGATTGTCGTCGCAGTCGTCGCAGTGGCAGTCGTCTTGGGAAAGTTGTAAGGACGACTGCTTCAGCTAAGTACGATGATGACGATGATGGTGAGTATAGGAGAAGGCACAGAAGAAGAATGACTTATAGTACATTTCTTGAATGTATGTAAGTCAGGCTATCCCTGCAGAACTGAGGCATTCTCGAAAGAGAGCGGAAGAGATCTTCAAGCTTGTGAAGGATCCTAATCCAAATTGTTCCAGAGGCTCCTGCCTGGGAGAAACATTTTCAACCTCTGAGGCCAAGCAGCAGAGTCTGCAAGACTGTGGCTTTCACACATTCCCTGCAGTCCAGTAGGACGAAGTCAGAACTGAGCAAAGCTCTGGGTCTATGCTTCGAGGCCTCTTGTCCAGATCCCACCGCCACTCCGCGTTGCAGCCTGAGCTCCGAAAGGACGCGGTGGATTCGCAGTAGAAAATGTAGCACTGAGGGCCGCACAGCAGGACTTACCACACAGATGGCTGTGCGGCGCTGTGCAGATGTTTTCCTTCACAGATGGGTGCCACAAGGTACCACGCTGGGGCCTGAACATAAAGCTTCAGCACCTTCAGGACACCCTGTCATCACGCCTCCATGCGCGACTTCCACAGCTGCGATGCCGGGATGTGGAAGTTGGTGACATCAGGGTTGCCATCACCTTATGACTCCCTCAAGATGGGTGCTTCTTGGAGATGCAGTACCCCGACACGAAATCAACTCAAGATAGATTTGCAGTCTCTTCGTGTTCTGTTGCAGAGCCCTCCATGAAGAGTGCGTCTGGAGCACTGCAGCCTCGGCATTCGTCGTACTCGACATCATAGGTGCAGCCCATCCGGCAACAGCAGTGTCGTCCGTCATTGCACAGATATGCATTCCTGGCCAGTTGCAAAGTCAGAACGATGGGCAGCTGGTGGAAATGTCCATGTTAGCTGCACCTGTCCTGCTTGCGCAAGTCTCGCCTGTGCCCCAAGTCTGGGATCCTCAGGGCTCTCTTGGCTCTCTCGACTCCCGATGCTTCGTCATGTTCACCCCTTCCTGGAATGGGATCTTCCCGAGGCACCTCAGAGCAGCACATGTCCGCTTTGGTGGGGGTCTCAGCGGCCGGCAGCCAGCAATGCTTACTGCTCGGAGGCGCGGGAATCTGGGGTGCTTCTTCTGGCGGCTCCTGGACGACAGTGACGTGTTGGCCTCGATCTCACGCTCTTGGCTGCTGCGTCGCAGCTCCCATCTGAGGCCGAGTGACACTCTCGCGTCTCCAAGCTCCAGAGATACTCCGCATTGCAGCAGCAGGAAAGGCCGCAAACATGACCTCACCGCTTTTCAAAGACGTCTTTCAATCCCAAACTTGCCTCAGGAACTCAGCCGAGGCCGGATCTGTGGGCTTTCGTGCACTTCCTCCGTGGGGCGAAGGGCGAAGCGGAATACAAGTTGCTAACAGACAGCACTGGAGCTTCGTAACCACCGTCACGCCAGGCGTCCCCTGGGCTCTCCCTTCCCAGAGATGCGAAGATGGGATGTGAAAGGCAGCGACCTTAAATACTGAACTTACTACACGAGTTGGCTCATGCATCAGCAGGTTCGGTGCACATTGTCTAGTCTGAACTGCCATGGCCTACTTCGGCGATTCGATCCCGGGTGCGTCAGGATCGTCATCGTGACAGGCCGTGCAGCTGTCCTTCTCGACATCATAACTGCAGCCAAACCTGAGCCGAAGTGCATGTAGCTACGAACAACCACATGAAGGAAGCCACTGACAGCGGGCCTGCAGCAACATCGGCCTGCCCCGCATGCATACGCGTTCCTGCGAGCGGGTCGCGTCTGGTCGCCTTGTCCTCTGCTTCCCGAGCTTCGGAAGCTCCTTGGGCCGCACCTGTCTCCCAGGACCAGAGGCCAAGTCTGGGAGCCTCCAAAGAGCGCTGCAATGCGGTCTCTCTCGGCGCAACGCTCCGCGCTCCGCGCGTCGAAGCCGGTTTCGCGGCCTGGAAGGGGCTCGGCCCGGAGGACGGGCCGCGTGGGTCCGGGCGGCGCGTGCCCCGCCTCGCCGCCTCCCAAACGCAGCAGTCCACAGACCTCGCACTGCGTCCGTCTCTCCTCGCCTGAGAGGCGGGGTTCCTGGAAACGCCTCAAAGGCTCAGAGACGGCGACGGACGGAAACATGCAAAGATGTTGTCTCACAGCCAGAAACATGCAGCACATGCACATGCCCGGACAGCCAATGGATAAAATCGCGACGGCAGACGGTTGCAGAGCGGAGCGTGCAGCAGCCGGGCGCTCCCCACGAACGCCTCAGAATCATACTGGCAGCCAGGATAAGGGATACTGAAAATCAGCATCAGTCAAGGATCCGCAGATGATGAACCATGCCAGGTGGAGCGGCAAGCGCATTTCCTACCACGTCGACCTCGGCCATGGTGACAAATTGAACAGACGATCTCCAAGGGCTAGGACTGCTAAGACTGAGGCCCAGACTTTTCCCGAAGGATCATCAGCATCACACTAGGATTTCACACACAACTGATTTGAGCCCAAGGGCTCTTGCAGTGACAGTTTGACTCTACCCCACACCCGGAGTAGCGGTAAGAAGCTAAAATGAAACCCTCAAGTCACGGGCGAAGCCTCATTCGCGATCTCCCTGGGGGACAGCAGCGATGCGTCGATCTTCTTCACCGCGCGGAGCTCAGGCACAGACCGGGAAGAAACATCTACTAGGCTTAAACGGGCCGGGCCTTCAGTTATAGGTTGTAGTATGATAGATGGTATAGGTCCTACTAGAGCTTCTAGGAGTGGCCCAAAAAAGAAAAGCCTGGCCTGGCCGGAGGTCCGATGACGAGCCCTCCACACGGTGCTGAAAGCACCTTGTCCCTTGGAACATTGAAGGGTTTAAGGACTGCAAAGAAAGGCCATCCGAATCTCAGAAGGCTCTGTCAATGTAGGTGCCAGACGACGAGGGCCTCGATAGCATAGAACTCTGTGAGGTTTACCGGAAACTGCCTTGGACCCCGTTGATCATCACTCGGATCGCTCAGGTCTTGGAGAAGAAACGCATGGTCTCTACAATTCAATTAAGGCTGAGGCGATGAAAGGTCCATCGTCATCACCGAGCCTTGTCTCGGGTGGCCCGACACCGAACACGCTGAGACCGAGTGAACAATGCTATGGCACCCACCTTCGCAGCCACGGCTTGCGATCACGGCACCATAGGCAGATCAGGAATCTTTACGAAGCTCACACTTGTTTAGTGTCTCGTCTCGGGCTAGAGCCCAAAAAGCCCTCCACTGTCCGCTGCCTCTGAGATGATGCCCTTCACGATACCGGACCCCACCAAAACAAAGAGTGGTCCTCTCTTCTCCCTCCCCTGCAGCAGACTCTGCACAAGCCTCTTGACTGACACGATTCACTTACCACTCGGGTTGAAACTCGTGGCTTGCAGCTTGTTAGGATGCTGTTGCCTGAAGATGCGTCTACCAGTCTACCGACACCAGATGTGCGTGACCCGGACTCGTCATAAATTATGCCCTTAGAACCCCCCAGCACTTGAGCATCACGGGCAATGTCTCCTCACATACAACTTCAAGCCGGGGCGGTATCGGCAGTGACAAAAGCACACCTAAGAGGTCTTACATCGAATTTAAACTGCCAGTCTCTGTTTGTCTTCTAACTGCTGGAGCACCTGGCCTCCGCACGCAAAAGCACTACAGCACGGACAAAGGGCAGCTATGTCCCAGCACATCAGGTCCCGCATCTTGAACGACGACTCAACGCAACTTTCTTTTCTGCGTGACGAACTGCTGTCGTGGCAGCAAGGCGCTCAGCACTGCCATCGAGGCGGCATGCCTCATACTAGGCACGGCTTGGCAACTTTAAGGATGTCTTACACGAGGCGCACTGGTCACTTGCTTACCTGTATTTTAACAGTCCATGCGCAGTCCTTGCTCCTAGGGGAGCCGTCGCGACTTGTGAGCTTCAAGATTCAGGATTTACAATGTAGTTTTGGTGAAAGTTCTGGCCAAGGGCGGGTCCGGACATACTTTGCGGCTGAAGGATGGGAACATTCAGCTACTCATCCTTGGGGATCGGTGCTTTCCCAGCCAGTCTGCACCGACCGCAATCCTACAAACCCGTCAGCGGCCAGGCAATGCAACCCGCATCTTGTTCGCAGCGACAGTCGATGCTGCATGCAAAAGTGAGGGCTGTACATCTGCAGCGGACCATTCAAACGGGGCGGTCGCTTGATTCAAGAACAAGCGCATGGCCATGTAGCCTTCCAGAATGGAATTCCTCGGCCGGCTGATTCTGTCCCTGATACTTCTTAAAGAATCTTAAAGCTGATGCCAAAATCAAAATCGCGAGCACTTTGGCGCAAGCACGGCTGGCGAAACCCCTGAGCCTTTGACACCACCCCGTTCGACATCACAATTGTGGGATCATGCAAGCCTTGCCTCCACGCCGCCCACCAAAACGTGCAGTGCATCTGACAATCATTCGACAAGCGTTTCCTCGTCGCTGCTCCACAACTGCCCTAAGTAAGGCAAACGACTCACCACGGCCCGAAGTGTTGTACCCGGGGCTTGGTGGCCTTCGTGGAGCTCTGCTTGGCTTTCTGGCCCTTGATCTTCAAGGCAGACTGAGCGGCGGCCAGCCTGGCGACTGGCACGCGGAAAGGCGAGCAGCTCACATAATCCAGGCCGATGCGCTCGCAGACCTCGATGGAGGCAGGGTCGCCGCCATGCTCGCCGCAGATGCCCATCTTCATGTGGGGCCTGGTGCTGCGACCACGCTCCACTGCCATGGTGATCAGCTCGCCGACGCCGTCGGGATCGAGGGACACGAAGGGATCCGTCTCCACGATTCCCTTAGCTTTGTACTCCGGCAAGAAGGATCCAGCATCATCACGGCTCAAGCCGTAGGTGGTCTGTGTGAGGTCATTGGTGCCAAAGCTGAAGAACTCCGCCATTTCTGCCAACTTTCCAGCCTGCAAGGCTGCACGAGGAAGCTCAATCATGGTGCCCACCTTGTAGCTGAAGGTGATCCCCTGCTCCTTCTTCACTTCATCTGCGGTCTTCTCAATGACCCCCTTCAGCAGCTTCAGCTCTTCGGTGGTGGCCACAAGTGGCACCATGACCTCTGCCACTGGCAGCTTCTTGGAGGGCTTCGAAGATGGCTCGCGCTTGCATCTCGCAGATCTCCGGATAGGTGATGGCCAGTCGGCAGCCGCGATGGCCCAGCATGGGGTTGGCTTCCTGCAGCTCTGCGGCACGCCTGCGCACCCGCTCCAGGGGAACGCCTGCAGCTTTCGCCACCAGTGCCATCTCGGCTTCCGTGTGCCTTGGAAAAACTAGAACTAACGCGAAAGACAAGCTCTTGCCTCCTGCTTCTCTGATCCAATGCAAATACCCACAAATGAAACCCAAGTCTCAGAATGATTCTCTTCCAAAGCCGAGTCAAGCCGAGAAGCGGGATGAACTCGTGCAACGGAGGATCCAGCAAGCGCACCGTGACCGGCATTCCATCCATGATCTTGAACAACTCAGTGATGTCTTCCCGCTGCATGACCAAGAGCTTCTCCAGCGCCTGTCGCCGATCGCTCTCATCTGTGGCCAAGATCATCTGCCTCATGGCCACAATGCGCTGTCCTTCGAAGAACATGTGCTCCGTCCTCACAAGACCGATGCCCTCCGCGCCGAACTCCTTGGCTTGTCGAGCGTCGGCCGGAGTCTCCGCATTGGCCCGAACCTTAGGCATGCATGGCGCAGACGCCTCCACTCAGATGCTGTAGGCCTGTAAAACTGATGCCTAGCTCCTAGCTCAGCTCGCTGCCTTCATGTCCCGGAACTCATCCGCCCACTCCATGATGGTCCCGAAGGATCCAGACAGCTGTGGAGGCACCGTGGGAACTTCGCCAACAATGACCTCTCCTGTGCTTCCATCGATGGTGAGGATTTGGCCCTCTGAAACCGTCACGGCACCAACGGTGAGCTTCGCTGCGGCATAGTCTACGGTTATGGCGCCTGCACCCGCCACGCATGGTCGGCCCATCCCGCGGGCGACCACGGCGGCATGGCTTGTCATGCCACCTGCCAGCGCAGCCAAGCTACATCAAATCCTCTTCGCACAGCAAGAAAGACAGTGTGTAAATCCTGCTCGCAAAGGACCTGCCTCGGGTGGTCAGGACTCCCTCCGCTGCGTGCAAGCCGTGAATGTCGTCCGGGCTGGTCTCGATGCGGACAAGGATGACCTTCTCGCCATCCTTGCATCGTCGCACCGCTTCGTCAGCAGAGAAGACAACCTGAGAAAACCAGGCAAAGCACATCGGTAAACAAAGGACGTGGATCAATACGTCGCTACAGTTTTCGCGATGGTCGTACTTGCAGAGGTGGACATCGAAACCTTCTCAAGCAAGGCAACCTTGCCGCCAGCAGCACCGGGAGAGGCAGGAAGGCCCTTGGCGATCACCTCCTTCTTGGCCTTCGGGTCCAGCGTGGGGTGAAGCAGCTGATCCACCAAATCCGGCTTCAAGCTCAGGATAGCTTGTGACTTGGAGATCAAACCCTCCTGGGCCATGTCAACGGCAATCTTCAGCGCAGCTGGAGCCGTGCGCTTTCCGTTGCACGTCTGCAGCATGTAGAGTTTACCTTGTTGTATCGTGAACTCGATGTCCTGCATATCCTGCGAAAAAACGTGAGATAAACAACGTCTTGGACTATGCAGGCTTGGGAGGAGCAGGAGGAGGAGGAGGAGGAGGAGGAGGAGGAGGAGGAGGAGGAGGAGGAGGGCTTCGGGTGGTTTGCAACGGGACGTCCTTGTAGTGGGTCTCCAGCTGGCTCCGCACCGACAGGAGCTCCTTGAAAATCTGCGGCATCACTTCTTCCAAGGAGGGCAGATCCGAACCATGAGACTTGCGGGCTTTGATCGTCAGCTCTTGCGGTGTGCGGATTCCGGCAACCACATCTTCGCCCTGCGCATTCACCAAGAACTCACCATAGAATTCGTTGGTTCCGGTGGAGGGGTCACGAGTGAAGGCCACGCCTGCAAGAGGACTCTGATTTCAATTACGCCCCCTCCCCCCTGCCGTTCATCCATTGAAGGTCCCCCCGTGACGCATGCAGGATCAATGAAGCAAGAGCTGCACAAGCCGCACTCGAACATCCCCTGCAGTGACGCTGGTGACTGCACATTACCCACACAGCCTACTGCTTGCAGGACCCCGCGCCTGTGGCGCAGTCGTTGCCCATGTTGCCGAAGACCATGGCCTGGACGTTCACAGCGGTGCCCCACCACTCCGGGATGTCGTGCAGCTGCCTGGCGGCGACGCACCGGTCTTTTCTCACGGCTCTTGAGGATTCTTGGTCTTAACGGTCTTGTGCCGGCCCCATTTCCTGTGGACAGTGCGAAAAGGAAACGTCTTTGGTGGGGCTATCTGTGTTCACGGGATCGTTTAAAAATTACCCAACCATCCGCACTGAACACAACATCCAAAATACAATGGTGAAGTAGCACGATTTCTGCACACAAGCAAACCTCGTTTAGCCTGCATATCTGTGGTTCTGAACCGGGCAGTCATTTCTGAGCATGACTTGTACTACCCTTCCATGGCAGACCATGTATATAATCTCGGCAACGGCAATATCTAATACCGAATGCCTTCAAAGGGACCTATCTTCTGCCTACAGGAATCAAGGGCATTGATGCACGCCTGTATGTCTTGGCTCGCTGGTTCATCCAGGAGTTGAAGACCTTGCAGTTTCGAGTGCTGCGTGGAAGGAGTGAAGACACCAGAATCCAATCAGAGCCCCTTTTATTTGCAAGACCAGGCACAGCACCAACTGCACCCCACAGCTGGGCTTTCGGATCTTCGGGGAACTCCTCGCCCAGCTCCAACTGCACCACCGCCTTGTACCTTGTTTCTTGAGCTTTGCGCGTCAACCTTGCGATTACACTCACGTGCTTGGCGCCTGCCGGTGGCGACGTGCTCAACAATCTTCTCTGCGACACACACACACATACACACATACACACACCATTACAACACCAAAAAAAAGTCCCGTTCAGGTGCGATTTCACAAACTTCTCCAAGTCATCAGCAAGCAGCTCGCAGTCCTCGACGGAAGACTTGCAATGTGAGACGCGGGGAGGGTGAAACGGTGCAGGTGACCGCATAATTGCACCATGTATGAGGATTGCAATGCTGGCTTGGCTGCATCCGGGTCTAAACCCGAAAACACACCGATGGCGCAGTCCTGCTTTACACCGTGCTTCTCCTTCGCACGCTCCAGGTGCTTCTCAAAGTGGTTGATCTCGATGCCCAAGACCACGTCTGAGTACATCTGCACGAAGCGCCTGTAGCCTCCGAGGTTCTGCAGAGAACTTGGACCAAAAATCGGTATATGTAGATATACATATATATGTATATATCTATATAATTATATATATATATGTACACACACCGACACAGCTCTTACGGTTCGGAGAGTTGATGGGTTGGCCCCGACTCGAAAAACGAACGGGGTACTCAGACAAATGCTCAGGAGCTGTCGAAGGCAAAGCGCCGGTCGCAGGATTTCTTTGCTAAGGCTTCCACCGTCTGATCGTTCAAGCCCAGATTGAGCACGGTATCCATCATTCCTGCCACGGGGCTGGCCAGGTGGCGAGCACAAGCATCAGCACGGAAGTGAAGAGACTTGCGTGGCACGTCGTACCATGCAGCTTCCACAGGCGTTCTTGCACAGAGATGCACCGAGACATGTGTCAAGCGACTGAGGGTTTGCAGACACCGGTCCTGGCATGGATGCACGCGCCCCGGAGCGAACTGAGACCAGAAGCGGGTTGACGGAGTCGCCAAAAACACGGCCGGTGCGCTTCTGGACCAAAGCCAGTGCCTCCTCGACCTTTCACGTGGCGAATGGAATCTATTCCGACCGTGGATTATGGGTAAGTCGGCACGTCCAACAGGTGCGACTCAGCCTCCCGTTCCCAGCCTCGCGCCTGCTTGTTGAGCTCCTTGGGATAGTTGCAATCGTTCTGATAGAAGTGCGTGCAGACCTCCGTCGTCAGCGTGAACCCGGGTGGCACGGGCAGCCCGATGGAGGCCATTTCCTCAGACGCACATCCAAGCATAAGCATGAAGGCTCCAAGCCAAGACCCCACAAGCCTATCTGCAAATACGACGTGAAAGCCACAGCCCTGAAGTTCTATGGCACTGCCGAAATTCCGCAAGGTTGGCACCCTTGCCGCCCAGGAGATTCTTCATCTCGGCCCGGCCGTCGGCCTGGAGCTCCAGTGGAAGGTGACACGGCTAGAATCATGCGCACTGTGATGTCTCAGCATGATCTTATGATCTCTACTGGTGCAGTGGTTCCGCATCAACTGTCGTGCAAGCAGTCAAGCGTGCAGCTCCTCGCCATCGCCGAAGTTGTACACCCAGGTTGCCATGTCTGATGAGAAACCGTCTGAACCCTGATCACTCAGATGCTTTGAAACTCAAATGCTGCGAAGGCATCGTTCGTGCAGATGTTTTGCGTTCTCCAGCTGGCGCGGCACAGCTTAGACATTCTACTCGAAGGCTGACGGAGCGGAAAGTCGGCTGACACAACTCCCTTACCCCCTTACGTTCCCGCGGCCCAGCTGACCAAGTTCTTCATAGAATGCCAACGTACTGAACTCTGAGGGTAGGAGGCTCCATCATGACCCACATTGGAGCACCAGGAACTCTACAACACGACTCATGCCTGCGCTCGATTGCACAACCAACACCGCTGACGCAGCTTAGCCGGCTGTCCCAGTCGAACTCAGGCCAAAGCAGATTCGCTGCCCCAGCACCTGGGCCGGCTTCGAAGGTTTAGGATCTCTGAATTCGGGATGTTCTTCGCGAAGAGGCCAGGAGACTGCACACCTAGAACAGGACTTTGTTCGCGGCGGCAGTCGGTGCTACATGCAGAAGCACTGTACAAATTGCAGCGACCATTCAAACGGTGCGATTACACTTGATTAAACAACAAACGCGTGGCACATAGCCTTCCAGCGTTGGAATTCCTCGCGGCCACGCTCAGGCTGTCCCTGAAACATTTAAAGGATCTTAAAGCTGATGCCAAAATCAAAATCGCGAGCATTCTGGCGCAAGCAAGGCTGGCTAAACCACTGAGCCTTTGACACCCGTTCGACTCGAGCTTGTTCAAGTGTCTGAGATTTTGTAAGATCAAGCAAGCCTTGCCTCCACGCCGCCCACCAAAACGTGCACAGCATCTGACAATCATTCGACAAGCGTTTCCTCGTCGCTGCTCCACAACTGCCCTAAGTAAGGCAAACGACTCACCACGGCCCGAAGTGTTGTACCCGGGGCTTGGTGGCCTTCGTGGAGCTCTGCTTGGCTTTCTGGCCCTTGATCTTCAAGGCAGACTGAGCGGCGGCCAGCCTGGCGACTGGCACGCGGAAAGGCGAGCAGCTCACATAATCCAGGCCGATGCGCTCGCAGACCTCGATGGAGGCAGGGTCGCCGCCATGCTCGCCGCAGATGCCCATCTTCATGTGGGGCCTGGTGCTGCGACCACGCTCCACTGCCATGGTGATCAGCTCGCCGACGCCGTCGGGATCGAGGGACACGAAGGGATCCGTCTCCACGATTCCCTTAGCTTTGTACTCCGGCAAGAAGGATCCAGCATCATCACGGCTCAAGCCGTAGGTGGTCTGTGTAAGGTCATTGGTGCCAAAGCTGAAGAACTCCGCCATTTCTGCCAACTTTCCAGCCTGCAAGGCTGCACGAGGAAGCTCAATCATGGTGCCCACCTTGTAGCTGAAGGTGATCCCCTGCTCCTTCTTCACTTCATCTGCAGTCTTCTCAATGACCCCCTTCAGCAGCTTCAGCTCTTCGGTGGTGGCCACAAGTGGCACCATGACCTCTGCCACTGGCAGCTTCTTGGAGCTTCGGCCGACCTCGGCTGCGGCTTCGAAGATGGCTCGCGCTTGCATCTCGCAGATCTCCGGATAGGTGATGGCCAGTCGGCAGCCGCGATGGCCCAGCATGGGGTTGGCTTCCTGCAGCTCTGCGGCACGCCTGCGCCCGCTCCAGGGGAACGCCTGCAGCTTTCGCCACCAGTGCCATCTCGGCTTCCGTGTGCCTTGGAAAAACTAGAACTAACGCGAAAGACAAGCTCTTGCCTCCTGCTTCTCTGATCCAATGCAAATACCCACAAATGAAACCCAAGTCTCAGAATGATTCTCTTCCAAAGCCGAGTCAAGCCGAGAAGCGGGATGAACTCGTGCAACGGAGGATCCAGCAAGCGCACCGTGACCGGCATTCCATCCATGATCTTGAACAACTCAGTGATGTCTTCCCGCTGCATGACCAAGAGCTTCTCCAGCGCCTGTCGCCGATCGCTCTCATCTGTGGCCAAGATCATCTGCCTCATGGCCACAATGCGCTGTCCTTCGAAGAACATGTGCTCCGTCCTCACAAGACCGATGCCCTCCGCGCCGAACTCCTTGGCTTGTCGAGCGTCGGCCGGAGTCTCCGCATTGGCCCGAACCTTAGGCATGCATGGCGCAGACGCCTCCACTCAGATGCTGTAGGCCTGTAAAACTGATGCCTAGCTCCTAGCTCAGCTCGCTGCCTTCATGTCCCGGAACTCATCCGCCCACTCCATGATGGTCCCGAAGGATCCAGACAGCTGTGGAGGCACCGTGGGAACTTCGCCAACAATGACCTCTCCTGTGCTTCCATCGATGGTGAGGATTTGGCCCTCTGAAACCGTCACGGCACCAACGGTGAGCTTCGCTGCGGCATAGTTTATGGTTATGGCGCCTGCACCCGCCACGCATGGTCGGCCCATCCCGCGGGCGACCACGGCGGCATGGCTTGTCATGCCGCCTGCCAGGGCAGCCAAGCTACATCAAATCCTCTTCGCACAGCAAGAAAGACAGTGTGTAAATCCTGCTCGCAAAGGACCTGCCTCGGGTGGTCAGGACTCCCTCCGCTGCGTGCAAGCCGTGAATGTCGTCCGGGCTGGTCTCGATGCGAACAAGGATGACCTTCTCGCCATCCTTGCATCGTCGCACCGCTTCGTCAGCAGAGAAGACAACCTGAGAAAACCAGGCAAAGCACATCGGTAAACAAAGGACGTGGATCAATACGTCGCTACAGTTTTCGCGATGGTCGTCCTTGCAGAGGTGAAATCGAAACCTTCTCAAGCAAGGCAACCTTGCCGCCAGCAGCACCGGGAGAGGCAGGAAGGCCCTTGGCGATCACCTCCTTCTTGGCCTTCGGGTCCAGCGTGGGGTGAAGCAGCTGATCCACCAAATCCGGCTTCAAGCTCAGGATAGCTTGTGACTTGGAGATCAAGCCCTCCTGGGCCATGTCAACGGCAATCTTCAGCGCAGCTGGAGCCGTGCGCTTTCCGTTGCGCGTCTGCAGCATGTAGAGTTTACCTTGTTGTATCGTGAACTCGATGTCCTGCATATCCTGCGAAAGAACGTGAGCTAAACAACGTCTTGGACTATGCAGGCTTTGGAGGAGCAGGAGGAGGAGGAGGAGGAGGAGGAGGAGGAGGAGGAGGAGGAGGAGGAGGAGGGCTTCGGGTTGTTTGCAAGGGGACGTCCTTGTAGTGGGTCTCCAGCTGGCTCCGCACCGACAGGAGCTCCTTGAAAATCTGCGGCATCACTTCTTCCAAGGAGGGCAGATCCGAACCATGGGACTTGCGGGCTTTGATCGTCAGCTCTTGCGGTGTGCGGATTCCGGCAACCACATCTTCGCCCTGCGCATTCACCAAGAACTCACCATAGAATTCGTTGGTTCCGGTGGAGGGGTCACGAGCGAAGGCCACGCCTGCAAGAGGACTCTGATTTCAATTACGCCCCCTCCCCCCCTGCCGTTCATCCATTGAAGGTCTCCCCGTGACGCATGCAGGATCAATGAAGCAAGAGCTGCACAAGCCGCACTCGAACATCCCCTGCAGTGACGCATTACCCACACAGCCTACTGCTTGCAGGACCCCGCGCCTGTGGCGCAGTCGTTGCCCATGTTGCCGAAGACCATGGCCTGGACGTTCACAGCGGTGCCCCACCACTCCGGGATGTCGTGCAGCTGCCTGGCGGCGACGCACCGGTCTTTTCTCACGGCTCTTGAGGATTCTTGGTCTTAACGGTCTTGTGCCGGCCCCATTTCCTGTGGACAGCGCGAAAAGGAAACGTCTTTGGTGGGGCTATCTGTGTTCACGGGATCGTGAAAAAATTACCCAACCATCCGCACTGCACACAAAATCCAAAATACAATGGTGAAGTAGCACGATTTCTGCACACAAGCAAACCTCGTTTAGCCCGCATATCTGTGGTTCTGAACCGGGCAGTCATTTCTGAGCATGACTTGTACTACCCTTCCATGGCAGACCATGTATATAATCTCGGCAACGGCAATATCTAATACCGAATGCCTTCAAAGGGACCTATCTTCTGCCTACAGGAATCAAGGGCATTGATGCACGCCTGTATGTCTTGGCTCGCTGGTTCATCCAGGAGTTGAAGACCTTGCAGTTTCGAGTGTTGCGTGGAAGGAGTGAAGACAACAGAATCCAATCAGAGCCCCGTTTATTTGCAAGACCAGGCACAGCACCAATTGCACCCCACAGCTGGGCTTTCGGATCTTCGGGAAACTCCTCGCCCAGCTCCAACTGCACCACCGCTTTGTACCTTGTTGCTTGAGCTTTGGGCGTCAACCTTGCGATTACACTCACGTGCTTGGCGCCTGCCGGTGGCGACGTGCTCAACAATCTTCTCTGCGACACACAGACACACACACACACATACACACCATCACAACACCAAAAAAAAAAGTCCCGTTCAGGTGCGATTTCACCAACTTCTCCAAGTCATCAGCAAGCAGCTCGCAGTCCTCGACGGAAGACTTGCAATGTGAGACGCGCGGAGGGTGCAACGGTGCAGGCGACCGCATAATTGCACCATGTATGAGGATTGCAATGCTGGCTTGGCTGCATCCGGGTCTAAACCCGAAAACACACCGATGGCGCAGTCCTGCTTTACACCGCGCTTCTCCTTCGCACGCTCCAGGTGCTTCTCAAAGTGGTTGATCTCGATGCCCAAGACCACGTCTGAGTACATCTGCACGAAGCGCCTGTGGCCTCCGAGGTTCTGCAGAGAACTTGGACCAAAAATCGGTATATGTAGATATACATATATATATATATATATAAATATATATATATATATATGTATATATTTATATATATATATGTACACACACCGACACAGCTCTTACGGTTCGGAGAGTTGATGGGTTGGCCCCGACTCGAAAAACGAACGGGGTACTCAGACAAATGCTCAGGAGCTGTCGAAGGCAAAGCGCCGGTCGCCGGATTTCTTTGCTAAGGCTTCCACCGTCTGATCGTTCAAGCCCAGATTGAGCACGGTATCCATCATTCCTGCCACGGGGCTGGCCAGGTGGCGAGCACAAGCATCAGCACGGAAGTGAAGAGACTTGCGTGGCACGTCGTACCATGCAGCTTCCACAGGCGTTCTTGCACAGAGATGCACCGAGACATGTGTCAAGCGACTGAGGGTTTGCAGACACCGGTCCTGGCATGGATGCACGCGCCCCGGAGCGAACTGAGACCAGAAGCGGGTTGACGGAGTCGCCAAAAACACGGGCGGTGCGCTTCTGGACCAAAGGTAGTGCCTCCTCGACCTTTCACGTGGCGAATGGAATCTATTCCGACCGTGGATTATGGGCAAGTCGGCACGTCCAACAGGTGCGACTCAGCCTCCCGTTCCCAGCCTCGCGCCTGCTTGTTGAGCTCCTTGGGATAGTTGCAATCGTTCTGATAGAAGTGCGTGCAGACCTCCGTCGTCAGTGTGAACCCGGGTGGCACGGGCAGCCCGATGGAGGCCATTTCCTCAGACGCACATCCAAGCATAAGCATGAAGGCTCCAAGCCAAGACCCCACAAGCCTATCTGCAAATACGACGTGAAAGCCTCAGCCCTGAAGTTCTATGGCACTGCCGAAATTCCGCAAGGTTGGCACCCTTGCCGCCCAGGAGATTCTTCATCTCGGCCCGGCCGTCGGCCTGGAGCTCCAGTAGAACTGTCTGGAAGGTGACACGGCTAGAATCTTCGCACTGTGATGTCTCAGCATGATCTTATGATCTCTACTGGTGCAGTGGTTCCGTATCAACTGTCGTGCAAGCAGTCAAGCGTGCAGCTCCTCGCCATCGCCGAAGTTGTACACCCAGGTTGCCATGTCTGATGAGAAACCGTCTGAACCCTGATCACTCAGATGCTTTGAAACTCAAATGCTGCGAAGGCATCGTTCGTGCAGATGTTTTGCGTTCTCCAGCTGGCGCGGCACAGCTTAGACATTCTACTCGAAGGCTGGCGGAGCGGAAAGTCGGCTGACACAACTCCCTTACCCCCTTACGTTCCCGCGGCCCAGCTGACCAAGTTCTTCATAGAATGCCAATGTACTGAACTCTGAGGGTAGGAGGCTCCATCATGACCCACATTGGAGCACCAGGAACTCTACAACACGACTCACGCCTGCGCTCGATTGCTTAGCCGGCTGTCCCAGTCGAACTCAGGCCAAAGCAGATTCGCTGCCCCAGCACCTGGGCCGGCTTCGAAGGTTTAGGATCTCTGAATTCGGGATGTTCTTCGCGAAGAGGCCAGGAGACTGCACACCTAGAACAGGACTTTGTTCGCGGCGGCAGTCGGTGCTACATGCAGAAGCACTGTACAAATTGCAGCGACCATTCAAACGGTGCGATTACACTTGATTAAACAACAAACGCGTGGCACATAGCCTTCCAGCGTTGGAATTCCTCGCGGCCACGCTCAAGCTGTCCCTGAAACATTTAACGGATCTTAAAGCTGATGCCAAAATCAAAATCGCGAGCATTCTGGCGCAAGCAAGGCTGGCTAAACCACTGAGCCTTTGACACCCGTTCGACTCGAGCTTGTTCAAGTGTCTGAGATTTTGTAAGATCAAGCAAGCCTTGCCTCCACGCCGCCCACCAAAACGTGCACAGCATCTGACAATCATTCGACAAGCGTTTCCTCGTCGCTGCTCCACAACTGCCCTAAGTAAGGCAAACGACTCACCACGGCCCGAAGTGTTGTACCCGGGGCTTGGTGGCCTTCGTGGAGCTCTGCTTGGCTTTCTGGCCCTTGATCTTCAAGGCAGACTGAGCGGCGGCCAGCCTGGCGACTGGCACGCGGAAAGGCGAGCAGCTCACATAATCCAGGCCGATGCGCTCGCAGACCTCGATGGAGGCAGGGTCGCCGCCATGCTCGCCGCAGATGCCCATCTTCATGTGGGGCCTGGTGCTGCGACCATGCTCCACTGCCATGGTGATCAGCTCGCCGACGCCGTCGGGATCGAGGGACACGAAGGGATCTGTCTCCACGATTCCCTTAGCTTTGTACTCCGGCAAGAAGGATCCAGCATCATCACGGCTCAAGCCGTAGGTGGTCTGTGTAAGGTCATTGGTGCCAAAGCTGAAGAACTCCGCCATTTCTGCCAACTTTCCAGCCTGCAAGGCTGCACGAGGAAGCTCAATCATGGTGCCCACCTTGTAGCTGAATGTGATTCCCTGCTCCTTCTTCACTTCATCTGCAGTCTTCTCAATGACCCCCTTCAGCAGCTTCAGCTCTTCGGTGGTGGCCACAAGTGGCACCATGACCTCTGCCACTGGCAGCTTCTTGGAGCTTCGGCCGACCTCGGCTGCGGCTTCGAAGATGGCTCGCGCTTGCATCTCGCAGATCTCCGGATAGGTGATGGCCAGTCGGCAGCCGCGATGGCCCAGCATGGGGTTGGCTTCCTGCAGCTCTGCGGCACGCCTGCGCACCCGCTCCAGGGGAACGCCTGCAGCTTTCGCCACCAGTGCCATCTCGGCCTTGGAAAAATTAAAACTAACGCGAAAGACAAGCTCCTGCCTCCTGCTTCTCTGATCCAATGCAAGCACCCGCAAATGAAACCCAAGTCTCAGAATGATTCTCTTCCAAAGCCGCGTCAAGCCGAGAAGCGGGATGAACTCGTGCAACGGAGGATCCAGCAAGCGCACCGTGACCGGCATTCCATCCATGATCTTGAACAACTCAGTGATGTCTTCCCGCTGCATGACCAAGAGCTTCTCCAGCGCCTGTCGCCGATCGCTCTCATCTGTGGCCAAGATCATCTGCCTCATGGCCACAATGCGCTGTCCTTCGAAGAACATGTGCTCCGTCCTCACAAGACCGATGCCCTCCGCGCCGAACTCCTTGGCTTGTCGAGCGTCGGCCGGAGTCTCCGCATTTGCCCAAACCTTAAACATGCATGGCGCAGACGCCTCCACTCAGATGCTGTAGGCCTGTAAGACTGATGCCTAGCTCCTAGCTCAGCTCGCTGCCTTCATGTCCCGGAACTCATCCGCCCACTCCATGATGGTCCCGAAGGATCCAGACAGCTGTGGAGGCACCGTGGGAACTTCGCCAACAATGACCTCTCCTGTGCTTCCATCGATGGTGAGGATTTGGCCCTCTGAAACCGTCACGGCACCAACGGTGAGCTTCGCTGCGGCAATGTCTACGGTTATGGCGCCTGCACCCGCCACGCATGGTCGGCCCATCCCGCGGGCGACCACGGCGGCATGGCTTGTCATGCCGCCTGCCAGGGCAGCCAAGCTACATCAAATCCTCTTCGCACAGCAAGAAAGACAGTGTGTAAATCCTGCTCGCAAAGGACCTGCCTCGGGTGGTCAGGACTCCCTCCGCTGCGTGCAAGCCGTGAATGTCGTCCGGGCTGGTCTCGATGCGAACAAGGATGACCTTCTCGCCATCCTTGCATCGTCGCACCGCTTCGTCAGCAGAGAAGACAACCTGAGAAAACCAGGCAAAGCACATCGGTAAACAAAGGACGTGGATCAATACGTCGCTACAGTTTTCGCGATGGTCGTCCTTGCAGAGGTGAAATCGAAACCTTCTCAAGCAAGGCAACCTTGCCGCCAGCAGCACCGGGAGAGGCAGGAAGGCCCTTGGCGATCACCTCCTTCTTGGCCTTCGGGTCCAGCGTGGGGTGAAGCAGCTGATCCACCAAATCCGGCTTCAAGCTCAGGATAGCTTGTGACTTGGAGATCAAGCCCTCCTGGGCCATGTCAACGGCAATCTTCAGCGCAGCTGGAGCCGTGCGCTTTCCGTTGCGCGTCTGCAGCATGTAGAGTTTACCTTGTTGTATCGTGAACTCGATGTCCTGCATATCCTGCGAAAAAACGTGAGATAAACAACGTCTTGGACTATGCAGGCTTGGGAGGAGCAGGAGGAGGAGGAGGAGGAGGAGGAGGAGGAGGAGGAGGAGGAGGAGGAGGGCTTCGGGTGGTTTGCAACGGGACGTCCTTGTAGTGGGTCTCCAGCTGGCTCCGCACCGACAGGAGCTCCTTGAAAATCTGCGGCATCACTTCTTCCAAGGAGGGCAGATCCGAACCATGAGACTTGCGGGCTTTGATCGTCAGCTCTTGCGGTGTGCGGATTCCGGCAACCACATCTTCGCCCTGCGCATTCACCAAGAACTCACCATAGAATTCGTTGGTTCCGGTGGAGGGGTCACGAGTGAAGGCCACGCCTGCAAGAGGACTCTGATTTCAATTACGCCCCCTCCCCCCTGCCGTTCATCCATTGAAGGTCCCCCCGTGACGCATGCAGGATCAATGAAGCAAGAGCTGCACAAGCCGCACTCGAACATCCCCTGCAGTGACGCTGGTGACTGCACATTACCCACACAGCCTACTGCTTGCAGGACCCCGCGCCTGTGGCGCAGTCGTTGCCCATGTTGCCGAAGACCATGGCCTGGACGTTCACAGCGGTGCCCCACCACTCCGGGATGTCGTGCAGCTGCCTGGCGGCGACGCACCGGTCTTTTCTCACGGCTCTTGAGGATTCTTGGTCTTAACGGTCTTGCGCCGGCCCCATTTCCTGTGGACAGTCCGAAAAGGACACGTCTTTGGTGGGGCTATCTGTGTTCACGGGATCGTTTAAAAATTACCCAACCATCCGCACTGAACACAAAATCCAAAATACAATGGTGAAGTAGCACGATTTCTGCACACAAGCAAACCTCGTGTAGCCTACATATCTGTGGTTCTGAACCGGGCAGTCATTTCTGAGCATGACTTGTACTACCCTTCCATGGCAGACCATGTATATAATCTGGGCAACGGCAATATCTAATACCGAATGCCTTCAAAGGGACCTATCTTCTGCCTACAGGAATCAAGGGCATTGATGCACGCCTGTGTGTCTTGGCTCGCTGGTTCATCGAGGAGTTGAAGACCTTGCAGTTTCGAGTGCTGCGTGGAAGGAGTGAAGACAACAGAATCCAATCAGAGCCCCTTTTATTTGCAAGACCAGGCACAGCACCAATTGCACCCCACAGCTGGGCTTTCGGATCTTCGGGGAACTCCTCGCCCAGCTCCAACTGCACCACCGCTTTGTACCTTGTTTCTTGAGCTTTGGGCGTCAACCTTGCGATTACACTCACGTGCTTGGCGCCTGCCGGTGGCGACGTGCTCAACAATCTTCTCAGCGACACACAGACACACACACACACATACACACCATCACAACACCAAAAAAAAGTCCCGTTCAGGTGCGATTTCACCAACTTCTCCAAGTCATCAGCAAGCAGCTCGCAGTCCTCGACGGAAGACTTGCAATGTGAGACGCGGGGAGGGTGCAACGGTGCAGGCGACCGCATAATTGCACCATGTATGAGGATTGCAATGCTGGCTTGGCTGCATCCGGGTCTAAACCCGAAAACACACCGATGGCGCAGTCCTGCTTTACACCGCACTTCTCCTTCGCACGCTCCAGGTGCTTCTCAAAGTGGTTGATCTCGATGCCCAAGACCACGTCTGAGTACATCTGCACGAAGCGCCTGTAGCCTCCGAGGTTCTGCAGAGAACTTGGACCAAAAATCGGTATATGTAGATATACATATATATGTATATATCTATATATTATATATATATATGTACACACACCGACACAGCTCTTACGGTTCGGAGAGTTGATGGGTTGGCCCCGACTCGAAAAACGAACGGGGTACTCAGACAAATGCTCAGGAGCTGTCGAAGGCAAAGCGCCGGTCGCAGGATTTCTTTGCTAAGGCTTCCACCGTCTGATCGTTCAAGCCCAGATTGAGCACGGTATCCATCATTCCTGCCACGGGGCTGGCCAGGTGGCGAGCACAAGCATCAGCACGGAAGTGAAGAGACTTGCGTGGCACGTCGTACCATGCAGCTTCCACAGGCGTTCTTGCACAGAGATGCACCGAGACATGTGTCAAGCGACTGAGGGTTTGCAGACACCGGTCCTGGCATGGATGCACGCGCCCCGGAGCGAACTGAGACCAGAAGCGGGTTGACGGAGTCGCCAAAAACACGGCCGGTGCGCTTCTGGACCAAAGCCAGTGCCTCCTCGACCTTTCACGTGGCGAATGGAATCTATTCCGACCGTGGATTATGGGTAAGTCGGCACGTCCAACAGGTGCGACTCAGCCTCCCGTTCCCAGCCTCGCGCCTGCTTGTTGAGCTCCTTGGGATAGTTGCAATCGTTCTGATAGAAGTGCGTGCAGACCTCCGTCGTCAGTGTGAACCCGGGTGGCACGGGCAGCCCGATGGAGGCCATTTCCTCAGACGCACATCCAAGCATAAGCATGAAGGCTCCAAGCCAAGACCCCACAAGCCTATCTGCAAATACGACGTGAGAGCCACAGCCCTGAAGTTCTATGGCACTGCCGAAATTCCGCAAGGTTGGCACCCTTGCCGCCCAGGAGATTCTTCATCTCGGCCCGGCCGTCGGCCTGGAGCTCCAGTAGAACTGTCTGGAAGGTGACACGGCTAGAATCATGCGCACTGTGATGTCTCAGCATGATCTTATGATCTCTACTGGTGCAGTGGTTCCGCATCAACTGTCGTGCAAGCAGTCAAGCGTGCAGCTCCTCGCCATCGCCGAAGTTGTACACCCAGGTTGCCATGTCTGATGAGAAACCGTCTGAACCCTGATCACTCAGATGCTCTGAAACTCAAATGCTGCGAAGGCATCGTTCGTGCAGATGTTTTGCGTTCTCCAGCTGGCGCAGCACAGCTTAGACATTCTACTCGAAGGCTGACGGAGCGGAAAGTCGGCTGACACAACTCCCTTACCCCCTTACGTTCCCGCGGCCCAGCTGACCAAGTTCTTCATAGAATGCCAATGTACTGAACTCTGAGGGTAGGAGGCTCCATCATGACCCACATTGGAGCACCAGGAACTCTACAACACGACTCACGCCTGCGCTCGATTGCACAACCAACACCGCTGACGCAGCTTAGCCGGCTGTCCCAGTCGAACTCAGGCCAAAGCAGATTCGCTGCCCCAGCACCTGGGCCGGCTTCGAAGGTTTAGGATCTCTGAATTCGGGATGTTCTTCGCGAAGAGGCCAGGAGACTGCACACCTAGAACAGGACTTTGTTCGCGGCGGCAGTCGGTGCTACATGCAGAAGCACTGTACAAATTGCAGCGACCATTCAAACGGTGCGATTACACTTGATTAAACAACAAACGCGTGGCACATAGCCTTCCAGCGTTGGAATTCCTCGCGGCCACGCTCAGGCTGTCCCTGAAACATTTAAAGGATCTTAAAGCTGATGCCAAAATCAAAATCGCGAGCATTCTGGCGCAAGCAAGGCTGGCTAAACCACTGAGCCTTTGACACCCGTTCGACTCGAGCTTGTTCACGTGTCTGAGATTTTGTAAGATCAAGCAAGCCTTGCCTCCACGCCGCCCACCAAAACGTGCAGTGCATCTGACAATCATTCGACAAGCGTTTCCTCGTCGCTGCTCCACAACTGCCCTAAGTAAGGCAAACGACTCACCACGGCCCGAAGTGTTGTACCCGGGGCTTGGTGGCCTTCGTGGAGCTCTGCTTGGCTTTCTGGCCCTTGATCTTCAAGACAGACTGAGCGGCGGCCAGCCTGGCGACTGGCACGCGGAAAGGCGAGCAGCTCACATAATCCAGGCCGATGCGCTCGCAGACCTCGATGGAGGCAGGGTCGCCGCCATGCTCGCCGCAGATGCCCATCTTCATGTGGGGCCTGGTGCTGCGACCACGCTCCACTGCCATGGTGATCAGCTCGCCGACGCCGTCGGGATCAAGGGACACGAAGGGATCCGTCTCCACGATTCCCTTAGCTTTGTACTCCGGCAAGAAGGATCCAGCATCATCACGGCTCAAGCCGTAGGTGGTCTGTGTGAGGTCATTGGTGCCAAAGCTGAAGAACTCCGCCATTTCTGCCAGCTTTCCAGCCTGCAAGGCTGCACGAGGAAGCTCAATCATGGTGCCCACCTTGTAGCTGAAGGTGATCCCCTGCTCCTTCTTCACTTCATCTGCAGTCTTCTCAATGACCCCCTTCAGCAGCTTCAGCTCTTCGGTGGTGGCCACAAGTGGCACCATGACCTCTGCCACTGGCAGCTTCTTGGAGCTTCGGCCGACCTCGGCTGCGGCTTCGAAGATGGCTCGCGCTTGCATCTCGCAGATCTCCGGATAGGTGATGGCCAGTCGGCAGCCGCGATGGCCCAGCATGGGGTTGGCTTCCTGAAGCTCCGCAGCACGCCTGCGCACCCGCTCCAGGGGAACGCCTGCAGCTTTCGCCACCAGTGCCATCTCGGCTTCCGTGTGCCTTGGAAAAACTAAAACTAGCGCGAAAGACAAGCTCCTGCCTCCTGCTTCTCTGATCCAATGCAAGTACCCGCAAATGAAACCCAAGTCTCAGAATGATTCTCTTCCAAAGCCGCGTCAAGCCGAGAAGCGGGATGAACTCGTGCAACGGAGGATCCAGCAAGCGCACCGTGACCGGCATTCCATCCATGATCTTGAACAACTCAGTGATGTCTTCCCGCTGCATGACCAAGAGCTTCTCCAGCGCCTGTCGCCGATCGCTCTCATCTGTGGCCAAGATCATCTGCCTCATGGCCACAATGCGCTGTCCTTCGAAGAACATGTGCTCCGTCCTCACAAGACCGATGCCCTCCGCGCCGAACTCCTTGGCTTGTCGAGCGTCGGCCGGAGTCTCCGCATTGGCCCGAACCTTAGGCATGCATGGCGCAGACGCCTCCACTCAGATGCTGTAGGCCTGTAAGACTGATGCCTAGCTCCTAGCTCAGCTCGCTGCCTTCATGTCCCGGAACTCATCCGCCCACTCCATGATGTCCCGAAGGATCCAGACAGCTGTGGAGGCACCGTGGGAACTTCGCCAACAATGACCTCTCCTGTGCTTCCATCGATGGTGAGGATTTGGCCCTCTGAAACCGTCACGGCACCAACGGTGAGCTTCGCTGCGGCATAGTCTACGGTTATGGCGCCTGCACCCGCCACACATGGTCGGCCCATCCCGCGGGCGACCACGGCGGCATGGCTTGTCATGCCACCTGCCAGCGCAGCCAAGCTACATCAAATCCTCTTCGCACAGCAAGAAAGACAGTGTGTAAATCCTGCTCGCAAAGGACCTGCCTCGGGTGGTCAGGACTCCCTCCGCTGCGTGCAAGCCGTGAATGTCGTCCGGGCTGGTCTCGATGCGAACAAGGATGACCTTCTCGCCATCCTTGCATCGTCGCACCGCTTCGTCAGCAGAGAAGACAACCTGAGAAAACCAGGCAAAGCACATCGGTAAACAAAGGACGTGGATCAATACGTCGCTACAGTTTTCGCGATGGTCGTACTTGCAGAGGTGGACATCGAAACCTTCTCAAGCAAGGCAACCTTGCCGCCAGCAGCACCGGGAGAGGCAGGAAGGCCCTTGGCGATCACCTCCTTCTTGGCCTTCGGGTCCAGCGTGGGGTGAAGCAGCTGATCCACCAAATCAGGCTTCAAGCTCAGGATAGCTTGTGACTTGGAGATCAAGCCCTCCTGGGCCATGTCAACGGCAATCTTCAGCGCAGCTGGAGCCGTGCGCTTTCCGTTGCGCGTCTGCAGCATGTAGAGTTTACCTTGTTGTATCGTGAACTCGATGTCCTGCATATCCTGCGAAAAAACGTGAGATAAACAACGTCTTGGACTATGCAGGCTTGGGAGGAGCAGGAGGAGGAGGAGGAGGAGGAGGAGGAGGAGGAGGAGGAGGAGGGCTTCGGGTTGTTTGCAACGGGACGTCCTTGTAGTGGGTCTCCAGCTGGCTCCGCACCGACAGGAGCTCCTTGAAAATCTGCGGCATCACTTCTTCCAAGGAGGGCAGATCCGAACCATGAGACTTGCGGGCTTTGATCGTCAGCTCTTGCGGTGTGCGGATTCCCACAACCACATCTTCGCCCTGCGCATTCACCAAGAACTCACCATAGAATTCGTTGGTTCCGGTGGAGGGGTCACGAGTGAAGGCCACGCCTGCAAGAGGACTCTGATTTCAATTACGCCCCCTCCCCCCCTGCCGTTCATCCATTGAAGGTCCCCCCGTGACGCATGCAGGATCAATGAAGCAAGAGCTGCACAAGCCGCACTCGAACATCCCCTGCAGTGACGCTGGTGACTGCACATTATCCACACAGCCTACTGCTTGCAGGACCCCGCGCCTGTGGCGCAGTCGTTGCCCATGTTGCCGAAGACCATGGCCTGGACGTTCACAGCGGTGCCCCACCACTCCGGGATGTCGTGCAGCTGCCTGGCGGCGACGCACCGGTCTTTCCTCACGGCTCTTGAGGATTCTTGGTCTTAACAGTCTTGTGCCGGCCCCATTTCCTGTGGACAGTCCGAAAAGGAAACGTCTTTGGTGGGGCTATCTGTGTTCACGGGATCGTGAAAAAATTACCCAACCATCCGCACTGAACACAAAATCCAAAATACAATGGTGAAGTAGCACGATTTCTGCACACAAGCAAACCTCGTTTAGCCCGCATATCTGTGGTTCTGAACCGGGCAGTCATTTCTGAGCATGACTTGTACTACCCTTCCATGGCAGACCATGTATATAATCTCGGCAACGGCAATATTTAATACCGAATGCCGTCAAAGGGACCTATCTTCTGCCTACAGGAATCAAGGGCATTGATGCACGCCTGTATGTCTTGGCTCGCTGGTTCATCCAGGAGTTGAAGACCTTGCAGTTTCGAGTGCTGCGTGGAGGGAGTGAAGACAACAGAATCCAATCAGAGCCCTTTTTATTTGCAAGACCAGGCACAGCACCAATTGCACCCCACAGCTGGGCTTTCGGATCTTCGGGGAACTCCTCGCCCAGCTCCAACTGCACCACCGCTTTGTACCTTGTTTCTTGAGCTTTGGGCGTCAACCTTGCGATTACACTCAGGTGCTTGGCGCCTGCCGGTGGCGACGTGCTCAACAATCTTCTCTGCGACACACAGACACACACACATACACACCATCACAACACCAAAAAAAGGTCCCGTTCAGGTGCGATTTCACCAACTTCTCCAAGTCATCAGCAAGCAGCTCGCAGTCCTCGACGGAAGACTTGCAATGTGAGACGCGGGGAGGGTGCAACGGTGCAGGCGACCGCATAATTGCACCATGTATGAGGATTGCAATGCTGGCTTGGCTGCATCCGGGTCTAAGCCCGAAAACACACCGCTGGCGCAGTCCTGCTTTACACCGCGCTTCTCCTTCGCACGCTCCAGGTGCTTCTCAAAGTGGTTGATCTCGATGCCCAAGACCACGTCTGAGTACATCTGCACGAAGCGCCTGTAGCCTCCGAGGTTCTGCAGAGAACTTAGACCAAAAATCGGTATATGTAGATATACATATATATATGTATATATTTATACATATGTACACACACCGACACAGCTCTTACGGTTCGGAGAGTTGATGGGTTGGCCCCGACTCGAAACAAGAACGGGGTACTCAGACAAATGCTCAGGAGCTGTCGAAGGCAAAGCGCCGGTCGCCGGATTTCTTTGCTAAGGCTTCCACCGTCTGATCGTTCAAGCCCAGATTGAGCACGGTATCCATCATTCCTGCCACGGGGCTGGCCAGGTGGCGAGCACAAGCATCAGCACGGAAGTGAAGAGACTTGCGTGGCAGGTCGTACAATGCAGCTTCCACAGGGGTTCTTGCACAGAGATGCACCGAGACATGTGTCAAGCGACTGAGGGTTTGCAGACACCGGTCCTGGCATGGATGCACGCGCCCCGGAGCGAACTGAGACCAGAAGCGGGTTGACGGAGTCGCCAAAAACACGGCCGGTGCGCTTCTGGACCAAAGCCAGTGCCTCCTCGACCTTTCACGTGGCGAATGGAATCTATTCCGACCGTAGATTATGGGTAAGTCGGCACGTCCAACAGGTGCGACTCAGCCTCCCGTTCCCAGCCTCGCACCTGCTTGTTGAGCTCCTTGGGATAGTTGCAATCGTTCTGATAGAAGTGCGTGCAGACCTCCGTCGTCAGTGTGAACCCGGGTGGCACGGGCAGCCCGATGGAGGCCATTTCCCCAGACGCACATCCAAGCATAAGCGTGAAGGCTCTAAGCCAAGACCCCACAAGCCTATCTGCAAATACGACGTGAGAGCCACAGCCCTGAAGTTCTATGGCACTGCCGAAATTCCGCAAGGTTGGCACCCTTGCCGCCCAGGAGATTCTTCATCTCGGCCCGGCCGTCGGCCTGGAGCTCCAGTAGAACTGTCTGGAAGGTGACACGGCTAGAATCATGCGCACTGTGATGTCTCAGCATGATGTTGTGATCTCTACTGGTGCAGTGGTTCCGCATCAACTGTCGTGCAAGCAGTCAAGCATGTAGCTCCTCGCCATCACCGAAGTTGTAGACCCACATGGCCATGCTGCGGCGAATACGCGTGAACCCTGATCACTCAGATGCCTTGAACCTAAAGTGCTTTATGATAAGCAAACAGAAGAGCACAAGCATAATTGCCGGGTTCGGCAATCACAAGACACAGATGCAAGTTTGCCGGACATGTCCAAACGCTCATCCTCACCGCCATTCGCTCAAGACCTTCTCATTTCCGCACTATAACACTGGCGTGTCAAAATTCAGAATCATCCACCGATCTGCCACCAGAACTGCTGATATGAACACATCCATGCAAAGGGGATGAAGGACAAGAGGGATCAGCCATGGCTCACATCCACAAGTGACACTCCGATATGCACTCACACAGTTTTTGCTGAGACCAACGCCGACGCATAGTCGCGTGGATGACGCCCTGCCCCCGGACCTGGATGCGAGGTGCCCGATTTATGTCTTACTTCTGCAGCCGATGCGTCACTGAATGCCAAACATGGTGCTGGGGGCCCTCCGTGGTGGCAAGAGAGCATATTCTTGTTCATCATTCCAAAGAAGCTCTCTTCTCGTTTCATGCCCAAGTGACACTCTCGCAGCTCCAGAGATACTCCACACTTTGAATCCCAAACCCGTCACGGTGCCTTAACGAACTATCCTGCACAATCCTGCAAGCTCCTGTCATGCTCACGAACCGGCTCTTTCTCTGAGTGTGCACATTCCAGGAGCACTTCACGGCTGTTCCGAAGGTTCCACCCGTCGGGCCGCACACTGCCACTGTACAGACATGTTTGCACCATCTCAGAGAATGCAAAACAGAAGCTCTGAAGCTGATAATGACATGGCATCTTCCCCAAGGCACTTTCTATGGTCTACTGAGTCTACTGAAAGCTCAGTCTCGGGAATCTGTGCCATGATCTTGGAGCCGCAGTCGCAGTCAAAGTATGCGGGTGCGGCAAAATCACATGAGGGATGCCCATCTCGACACTCTAAAAGTTAGGGCCGAAAGTCGGTTACCGACTTGAAAGTTTACGGCAAACGCCTGCATTCCGACGAAACGAGAAGTGTTTCTGCGTGGATTCAAAACCATGGCCTCCCTGTGTTCCACAAAGGACAGGAGCCTCAGAGGGCGACGGAGACGAAGGGATCGTCGGATACCGCCTTCTGCCATGCCCTTCTGGGCAAAGGACAGCGAGGCTCTGCCGGCACCGCCCAGCCCTCTAGGGCATCAATCAGAGATGCTGGGGCCTGCACCTGACTGAAAATCCGAGCTTTCGAAGACTGACGGGCTTTCGGTCGCACAAGGCTAAACCCACAAATCTGACAGGGACAGAACCCGAAGATGGAGTCCCAAAGCGAACCAGCGCTTGCGAGTGACTAACATTTTGCAAAGATCTGACAGATGTACCACGGCAATAGCAACAGGCCGTTACAGATGGCATGAAAGCCACGACAAAGATCAAACTTTGACTGACTGAACCCGTAGGGGCCCCCAAATCCCACCTGTCGCGCGAAGTGGACGGCAGTCTTTCCCCGCGCATTCCGCATCTCCACATCAGCTTGGGCCTCCGCAGGGGCACTGAAAAAAGGGTGCTGCAGGTGTCCTTGAGGGGAGCTTGCCTCGAGGAGTTGGGCGCTGGCTTTGAAGTTGCCGGTCAAGAAACTGAACATGAGGGGTGTCGCTCCAAGGTGATGATAGGCCAGAGTCGTCAAAGCAGAGGGGCTGAGCCGGTGCCGGATGCTGAGAGCCATAAACACGATCCGCCACACAGGCTGCTCAGGTCGGAGCTGCTCATTAACATCTGCTCTTGCTTGGATCAAGGTGGATATGCAGGCCGTTGAGCCCCCACTGATCATCAAGGCATAGTGTAGGCCATGCTTCGGAATGCTTCGTTCAGGTTGAAGCTCGCCTATAACTCTCCAGGATCCTGCAGAGCAGGCCAGCTCAAAAGCATCCAAACCAGGCAGCATCCTCTTCCCAGGGTCGGATTTCGCATTACAGAGGAGTCTTACACCTTCGACGTTGTCTGCGAAAGAGGCCGAGTGCAAGGCGATGCCTCTGTGGCTAGCACGGGCATGCACGTCGGCCCTGGATCTCAAGAGCACCAGGAGAGTGTCGTTGTTTCCGAAGTGGGCAGCCAAGGCCAGGGCAGGCGTGTTCTTGCAAAAGCCGATGTCGGGCTTGTGGCGTGTAATCCGGTCGTTACAGTCTGCTCTCTGCTTTATAAGGGCCTGCACCAGGCCTGGATTACCGGCCATGACAGCGTAACAGATGGGTGTCCAGCCTGCAGAGTCCCGCTCCTGAACTGACTGGAAACCGTTATCGTGCAGGAACCACTCCACCACAAAAGTCTCTTCGTCATTGAAGGGGTCACTTCGCGGCACAAAACCCGGCACCAGGCCTTCAACCGGGAGTGCATCTAGGTCCCTGAGGCAACAAGGACTTTGTGTGTTCAGCAAAAACCGATAGTTGTGGAAGTCACCCTGCTCTAGGAAGTAGTGCAACTTCTTCCAAATCATCTGCACAATGACGCCCACAATCCGACACCGGTCGGTTTCCCAAGTGAAATGTCCCGCACCAGGAGCATCTAGGTGCCTGCTTGTATTGAAGATTAAGCTTTGATGAAGCGCACTGTGCACCACAATCACGAAGCCATCGTCGCGTTCTGCAAGTTCTCTTGCGAGCCGCTCGAGCCTGCACCAGCCCCTGGCCGCAGGGTTCAGGGGGCCTTGCGCTCCTAGGCTTCAACCGCCAGGCTTACAGCTACTCTGCGTTTTGTGCTAAGATGCTCAAGAAGCCTGCCTGGTCGCCCAAGCATCCTCCCCGAGCACGGTTTGGTCTGCGTGGATCACTGCAGGGCAAAGTATCACGAAGTACTCGCATCGTGCCACATAAGATACAATTGTGTCGATCGCACATTGCCGAGAGTGTGCAGATACGAAGTCACTGCCCTGTGGACACGAAAAATAATCGTACCAAACAAACAATGGCTTCGAAGTCATGCCGACTGATGTCGGAGTTTTCATGCGGCCATATTGAATCTCCATGACAGGTGGGACTTGAACTTCACTTCTCCCGGAGAGCATGTTTCTCAACGCGTCTTGCAGCACCTTGAACTGCTCTGCGCAAGGGTCCGGATGGTGATCCGAGAGCCACTGGTGCGACACGAACATCGCTCTGCCCAGACTCTGTCTATATTCGGTCAGCGCCCCATCGATCTTCAACTGCTCATGAGCTCGAACTTCCCTCATCTCTAGAAGAATTTCAGCGGACACCTGTCAGAAAAGTTGGCATGACAGTTACCGGAGTGATTGCTCTCAGTGCAGCCTGCGATGCTCGAAAGATTCAGGCAATCCGAGGAGCGGTGTACATCGGAAAGGACAGCTCGCTGAAGCGGAGCTCCTACACAACACGTCTTTTTCACAAAGCCTCCTCTGCATGAAGAGCCTAACCCAAAATTTGAGCCGGTAACCGGCCTGCAGCCAAGAGCAACTCTGTCTTGCTGCTGTCGAAAATTGGCTCAGAGACGTCTCTGCCATGGCTGAAGTTCAAACTCTCGAATCTCTATAGACTTTTTCCTCTAGAGTGTTAGAACCCTTTAGAGTCTCGATCTCTACGCAGGCGTCTTGTGGGACTCCGCACTTCTTGGATGTCACATGCCGTGAGCATGAGACTGCAGAACGGCGTTGCGGGGCAGGCGACCCGATGCCAAGCAGGAAACCACTACTAGATGTCCGGCAATCTGTGCAACCCGGCAAGCAAAGAACCGGGCACGCTCGTGAACCGAGAAGAAATCGGTCCGCCACCCTTCCTCTTTTCACGGCAAGCTGACTGCGAGCACGTTGCATCATTACACGTGACCCCCTAGAGCCAATTGGAAACGGACAGCTGTCTTCTATTCGCGACGTCAGAAACTGCAGACTTTACAGGATTTCACGCAGCTCAACGGCGGCTGGCAACAGCATCATGCAACTAAAACCTTGAAAATGAAAATGGCCTCGCTCGGGGCGGGCCTTAACAGAGCCCACTTCGGGGCTAGGCTGCTAGGCATCAAAGCACAACCTCCAATGCGAAGCTGATGAAGAGCCCGAAATAGATGAAGATGCTTACATTCCAGTTGTGATCCTCGTCCTTTTCTGCGGCCTCCAGGAGGAGCTCCTGGATCACCAGGAAGAGCACCGCAACCAGAGAGAAGCTCACAAGGCCGGTGAAGACGAAGCAGCTTTCTAAGGCCTGGCCGATCATGTAGGCCCCCGCACCGAAGCAAAGCAGGCAAAGCGGAGGCAGCGCAAGCAATGCCACCAGAGCAGACCTGCAGAGTTTCGCTTCCTGCGCTTGGCTAACGAGAGTGCAACCGAAGCTATAGCCCAAAAAGCCCATCTCGATGACCGTCGCGATGGCCATCAGCATCCCGGCTCCGACAGAGCTTGAAGTCGATAGGCCAATCAACATGCCATCTACGGTTGCATCGATAGCGACAGCAAAGATGAGGCCCCAAGGCAAACTGCTGCGGTGATCCGGGAGATCCAAAGTCTGGTTTGAGCTGGAGGTCATCCGACGGGGGCCCCATCGGCGGAATGCACCCGGGTTGGTTTGTGCATGCAATCGCTTCAGGCTGGCGCTTGTTCGCTGAATCTGCAGATCCAGTGCGCTGACCTTCTGCGGGTTGATGGATTGCAGTGCCTCGACATCCTGCAAAAGCTCGGAAAGCCTTGCCCGAGCATCCTGCGTAGCCACACCGGTGAGAATCTCGACACCATGACAGGTTCTGTGCATGGAGTCCAATGCAAAGTCGATGAAGTGCAGCTGCTCGTCCAGCTGCTCCACGTTGATGTCATCGCTACCCTTCTGAATCTTGCTGAGTGCATTCATCGCAACATCTAATGTGGAACTTCCGGTGCTCAGCTTGCCGAGCTGTGCCGTGGCCATGCGCTGCAGTGCCACGTGTCGGGGCGAGGAAGCAGAGGCCGGAGACGCTACGCCCTCCAAATCGGGGTCCTTCCTTGCTGCCTCCTTCAACACCTCCTCGCTTGGGCTGTGAAACTGCTCGAGAGCACGGAGGCCATACATCACACCTAGGGCCAAGAAGAAGCCCAAGAAGGCCGAGGTGCAGTTCCACACCTCCACCTTCGTTCTACCTCCTGCGACGAAGAGTCGCTGGTGAAGCATTGGGTAGATCTCCGCAAGCAAAGCCCCGATCAGGAGCCCGGCCGATACGTTCTGAAACCGCGCTTGGACCAAATCGGAGGGGATGCCGAAACGAACGCAGACCGAGCCGATGCTCATGGAGAGGGCCGGTGCTGCGACGAGGGCGATGGCGATGAGAAGATGGTCCTCCTGCTCTGCGAGGATCGATGCCGACATGATCTCCGAGGCACCACAGAAAGGCGGGGCAACGGGGCAACTGCAACTGGTCTGTAAACGTCTGCGGGGCGTAAAGGGGGGGGGTCTGCGCCAGAGGCCTACACTACGGGGGGGGCCTACATGCATCGCACCACTCAGTCCAGTCACCAGTCTGAGTCTGGGGCCCCCGGCCTGGGACTCCTCCAAAGCTGCCCCCGCATGGCTCTCGGCTCTCGGCTTACAGCGCTAAAAAAGCCATTCTCTTCTCTCCCAACACTACACGAAGATGTCGCGCCGCAACGAGCTGCCACCCGGTTTGCACTTCGCGTCACTTGCTCTGCTGCGCGCAAACGACCCCCGCAAGACAAGGAAACCCTGCTGCTGAGCCACGCGAGACTTCCGACATTAGCACAGCAGCCTGCTGCCGAAAATGCCCGAAACTCGGATGCTTACCATTCACGGTTGCAACTACACCGTGCACATGGTGCGACGCAGCCTGCCATCCGCAATCCAATCATGTTTGCTTCGAGATTTTTGAATGTTGCACGCAAGGCTTGTCTCCCTTGGTCAGCTTTGAGCCAAGACTCTTTACTGGAGTGTTTGAAAGCATCGTAAGATGGGTGCAGGCAGTTGTCATCATGAAACCTCTCAGTTTCATGAAGCTCCCGGACACCACATCCACGTGCAAGACTGCGAGATCCATCTCCCGGGCAGTTCAGATGCTGAAAGTGGAACATTGGCTGGCTGAGCTCTGAGACTCGGCATCCGTCGCCTGGCGTGGCGGCACAGAGCTGCGAGTAAGGAAGCTGGAGGTCGGCTTACACAGCCGGACCTCCAAGAGCCTTCGAGCGTGAAGCCACTTCCCTCCAGTCTGTGCAACCTCGTCTTTCCCTTCGGCCTCCACGGGGGCATCATCCGGAGTCTCCATGGCTAGGCTGGCGTTGGCCGGGCGATAGAGATACAGAACCTGAGCAGTCTCCAGAGAAGGAACATGAAAACAATCCAGCCTCATTCCTCTTCCCCATTATCAACATCATGACTCTCCTGCTGAAAACCAGACAGGCACTAAGCTCGTTTCTCTGCATCAGGAGCATTCGCGAGACATCGCGGCGGCTCTCCCAACTGGAGGCCCCTGGAAATACGGTGTTTTCGGTTTCAGGGCACCGTCCTCAAGCAACCATAACCACCAGAAAGATCACAATCTGTAAGGTCTCAAGTCCAGCCGCCTTTACTACATCGTCTTGGGTCCAGGGCACAGCAACGACAAGCAATCCGAACGGGATCACAGGTAGGATGTCATCGTCCTGCATGTGCATGAGCGGCTCAGCAACATTTGGCGAAGCTGCTCGCTTAGCTACTGGGGTTCTCAACAGGCAAGGCTATGAAGCAGTGCGGCGCAGCCAGGCATGTGAGCTGGGGAGTCGCATGGTGGGGCGGATGCAAAGGATTCTGGCGACAACTCAAAACTGTCGCAATGTGCTAGGATACCCTGAATGCCGGAGGCCGAAGTTCCATCGCACCCTATCACACCTCTGTCGTCGCATACGCCAGCTGGAAGGGCAGCCAGGCGCAAGTGCCGAGAATCAACATCACCTTGGTCAAGAGAAGAGGAGGCTGGGGCACTGGGTCCGCCCAGGAAGCAGCTTCTGGGTAAAGCTCAATCGGACACTGTCGGCAAAACTGCATGGGATGGAAACTAACCATCATCTACCAAGTTTCATGTCACGAGGGTCGCAGATTCCCAAGCCCCGACTCCATCACAGCGACAGCGGATACACTCTCAACGAAAGCCGTGTGGCAGGCACCAGGGCCACAGACACCAGGAGCCTACACTTCTTCTTTGAGAGGTAGTAGCCCACCTGCGGCAAGCACCGGTCCCATCGGAAACCACCGTACAGCCGAGGCCAAGCAACAGCCGGACGACCGCACTCCAAGTCTAAGAGTCTAGGAGTCTAAGCCCGCTCTGGCACAGCTTGCCGGAACCGAACATCCAACAGTAGCGGCCCAGCATTCTTCGCATCTCTGCTCTAAAACTCTAAGGTAAGAGTGAAGCATTCTGCCGGCATAGGTCGTTACCACAGATCTCCACCTAGCGATGTAAACCATGGCATGCTGGCCTTCCAGAGGGACATGGACACGCGCACCTAGCGTGGGTCTCTGATAGGGGAGTGCATGCGAGCTGACAAGTGATCAATGAGAGCTTCTTCACCGACAGGCGCAGCACCTCTGACGCTCTGCAAGGAGCATGACATCAGCAGTATGCAAGTGTCGAAGAGCATGCCATGCGAAGCGAGATGTCACAAGAGCAGATGGACAGGACTGATCTCAAAGCACAAGATTAGCAATACTATCCCTCATGTCCGTGCAGCAGGACTAGAAAAGAGCCAATATGTCACCCTCCGTCAAGCTCACGTGCCACTTGGGAGCAAAAGCTTGGTTTGCCAAGCCTTCTATAAACATCGTTTTGACTAGGGGCAGAGAAGAGCGCAACCAGGGAAAGGATCATCCATCCCATTGCATGACCTCATGGAATATGGAAAAGCAATGTCAGAAAATCGTTCGAGTTCGGTTGTAGCGACCATGCGAGCAGGCAGCCGCAAATACATCCAGCTATCTATCTAGGAAATTTCTTAGGAACTTGATCTGGCGGCCAATACAAATCGAACTTCCGTGTATCTACCTAGACGGTCAGACGGTTGTTTGTGGACGTGTACAGCCACGCCAAAAGGAGACCGCTAGTCACAGAGCCACCAATCCGACAAAAAAAGGCACGAAGCCGAACAGACTAGCACGGTCCCTGAGGTGCTGGCAGGGCCTTAGTTCCTTCCCGTCCTGCACTCAAAAGAGCCTCTGGAAGTCGTCTTGCCCAGATGCGAAGAATCCACACGAAGAGCTGCCAGAAACCCACACCCCTAGGAGCTTGGTCAAACCACCTGCGGGCACGAAGCAGCAGCACAATTGAACAGCCAGTTGGTCGCCGAAGTAAGGGTTTGGGTGGGAGCCAAAATATACATGATACCTTGCCTATTTAGGTGTATGGCACCACCCAGCCCCCACCCTAGGACAAAAATCTATCTTAGGATCTGGCACTTAAACACAGATGGATCAAACTGCTTACCTTGCAAATGTAGGAAAACCCTTTTCACAAAGAAACTAAGATAAACAACGAAGGTAAAACAATAATTGAAGATAGAAGCAGTTGGGAGATGGGTAGAGAAATCTCCCCGATGAAAACGACACATTTAAAGCGAACTCACTAGATAATGAAGGTGTTGATACAGCGACCACTGGGTGGGGATCCAGAAAGCCTGCCCCAGAAGAGAGATTAGAAAAAGCGTTGAAACGATAGAAAAAAATGTAGCTATATTGAAGAGGTTCATTTTGAGCGTTGCTATTGCACTGGTAAGCAGTCTTATTATTATTATGTTAAATGCACTATGACATGTTCTGAATGCTTAAATAAGTCTGTCAAACAAACCGTGATCCAGTAAACCTTGAGAAAATAATCTTTCTGAGGAGAATGACTTAAAGAAATAACGCCGATATATTATAGAGGAAATGTCTGTCGGTGAATATGAAAGTCGAAGTGAATATGATAGTGAAAGTGAAGATGAAACTGAAACGTTTTCTTATGAAATAAGTAAATCTAGATATGTCAATTTCTGTGCTCTGTGTAGGCAACCTAAGAACAGAAAACAAATTTTGTCAGACAAATGTGATGCTTCGCATGGTTTAACACATATGGTTACAGACTAACATGGCTGCGATACATGTTGTAATTTCAAGACTTTATTTGATGATTACATATGTCCGTTTACTTACGAGGTTGGGTAGGCAAGGAAGATTATACGCTTGAATTACACATTGAAATCAAAACAATGTATGAGAATCCAAACAAGTTCTACCTCTACAAATGGCATCAGGAGACAAGGAAACGTCTCAGTGATTATGGTGATATGGACCATTGTCACACAGTGGATGAGTCTTTTGGCGCCATAATATATTCTATCATTGGATTCAACCGCAGATTACCTTCTGACCAATCAAAAGAAACAGCACTGCTCATAGCAGACATGATTGTAAATAACCATGTGCAAAGTAACCTAGCAATGGTAATTTAATATTCACGTAAGTTATTGTTAAATACAGGCGACGGTGATGTAACTACCCAAACTGCATATTTAGTTATACTGTCATTGATATACATAAGCAGTTATACATCATAATTGCAGTATACTTATAAGATTCTTGGCAAATCCGAGAAGATAAGCGAATGCTGAAGCCTTAACCCTAAACCCTGAACCTATGGGGAACCCGTCGCCTATATTCAGCTTTGGCACTTGGCTAGATACGGGTGTCGGTGTTCTAGAGTGTGAATAGGATTTTTTCATATATTGTATCTTAGGTTGGGGGCGGGGTGGTGCCGATAGCCTTTACAGGCGAGGGGGTCAATAACTCTAACAGCCTCTGGCTTTGAAACTGGGAAAAGCGTTCCTTGGTAAGAGGTCTGTCATGACGCTTTCGCACACACCTTTTTGGCAACATGACCCCTTCTGTTCGCCCTTCAGGGACTAAAAAAAGCGCTGCTGCTTTAAGACGATGTCTTGGGGCCTCTCTCGTCTCTGGCATCGCAAAACGGGCGGACCGAAACGCACACTCTGTCATCTCAGCAGCAATGAATGCGCTGCCATCTTCTGAAGAAAAATGTCTCCACAACCCACATTGGACATGCATTGCAGATACACCTCTTGGTGGAACGGCAGCCTCAATGAGTGGGAAAACCGTGTCACTTCATACATGTGGAGAAAAAAAGGCCCAATCTCCCAAGCAAAACCAACTGTTGCACCCTCGCCGCCTCGGGATGTAGTAAGCAAGAAACGGCACATTTGGAGCGGCAACCATATAGAAGGAGTAGCCTCAGAAGCGTGCACGCACATAACGTCTGTCGACAGGCACCGGCCAACGTACAGCACACCAGATGTTTCAAGTTTAAAGCTTGGTGGGCCATTGCGGCACCCCAG